CTAGGAATATATAGGAAATAAGGAATATAAGGAGTAAATCGTAATGTAGTTTACAAAGATGTATTTCATTCAATTAGATACAGATTGATTTATCAACATAGTGACTTGAATAAGTAATTAAGGCGAATACGTATCAGAGAGTGAAAACTGAAAATGAAAAAAATAAATGATAAGATAAAACGTACATGTTGTGGGAATTTGAAAATATGTTAAATAATTTTTTTATTATAGTATTTAATGATAACATGAATTGTAAATGGGAAAATGATCGTAAGAAATATTATAAATGACGTTGCAGGACCATATTACGACAGAATCCGTATTAGCCCGAGGAAAAAAAAAAGTTTAAAAAAAAGCTAGAGTGTCCAGCTAAAATAGTGAAACACGTACTTGCTGTTTGCAATGCCTCAAAGGTCAGTATTTGTTGTTGTTACTACTTAAAATCAAGATAGTATTTGTTAAAAATTAATGGAAATGAAATCATTTCGAAAATTTAATCATATAAGATATAATGTATTATTCAAAATACATATGGATCAGGCGTAAGGCAGTTGTGTTTGCGTGAGAATGTGTGTGCGAGGATGTATTGGTGCGGACGTATGTGTTCCTCATACCAACACTAGTATTGTGTGTCCGTCGAAGGGAAGAGAAAACAATGTAATTTCAATATTCATTTTGTATGACATGGTAGGCTACAAGTACATACGATAGAAAGTAAAAAAAAAACTAGAAAATGAATCAGAATTTTGAAAGATTTTTGTATTTTATCACCATGAGGTACACAATCAAACATCGGGCAAGGTATGTGATTGATGTTATTGTGTCTTATGTTTTTTTGTTTAAATCTTGTTCCTTCGTATGTCCGTACAATTGTTTCTTGAAGTGTTAATTTGTTTTATATTAAACTTGAGATAATTAAGGGTAATTGTGTAAAGGATTTGTTAATAAACGTACTTGTCACTATTATATGAGTTGTAGTGTTTGCAGGGACTTCAAAGAGAGAAAAACATGTTTCAAAATGAATGTTTATATTTGTCAGGTATTATAAAAGAAATATCATACGTTACACACTTGAACATATATGTTTCCTTAAGGACATTTTTATTTTATTTTACAGATTCGTGTATAGAGGTCAGTTTTATAGGTCTTTGCTTCCAGGCAAGATATCGGATACAGTACTATTTCAATAAAGAAATAACGTTGTTACGTTGTCTGTTGAAGGTATAATGAAAGCCGGAGACGGTCGTAGAAGGCTCAGTGATAGTGTAATAATTTGGCTCTACTGTATCTAACTCTAAATTTTTATTGAAAGGTGATATTCACTTGTGTGTCTTTCAAATAACCTTAATATATGTTTGAGTGTGCACATTAACTTCCTCTTTACAACAAATATACAGAACAAAACGAATACATAGGTATTGAGAAATAATTTGTTTACAAGAACTGTAATACATTCATCCTGGTTTGCTATGTATATATTTTGCCCTAGTTTTAATGAATTTGAGTTCGGATTATGATGTTGACATGTTGGCAATTTCTTGATATGCTATATAAAAAAAAAATATTGAATATTGAAAGATATTGAAATATTGCAACTAAACATAGAGTAAATATGGAGAATAAGTAGTACGATTGTTTTATGCATTGCGATAATATTTTCGCAGTGAATCCCATTCCTTCCTTCTGGTCCTACAAACAGGCAACGCTATGTTCTAGGATTGTAGCCTGTTTGATAGCACTTTTAACATCACCAAATACCATGTCCATGTCTACCAGATTGTAGTACAAACAAATGTGGGACACATACCAGTTGGATTGATAATAACAGAAACGGTATTTGGTTTATGTTTGGTAATATTCAATGCAGGAATGTCAATGTAATGTTACATTTCATATAAATAACTCAAAGAAAGAAATTATATTTCAAAAGATTTCGCTATAAAAAAACCTATCATGCTACAAAAGAATAACGAAGCTAGTGTAAGCGGACACGTATCAAACTTTCGCCGTTTTATGTACATATTAGGTCACATTATCGTCCACTTACTGCTGAGCAGCATTATTTTAATAAAAGCTACCGTCCCTCTGTCCGTTTGGTATTGTATATTGTTTCTTTATTGAATAAATATTCTTTTTTCTTTTTTGAATGAGCAATGAAAGAATGACGGATATTAACATCCAAAGTCAATAAAATGCTAAGGTGAAAAAAAAGAATGTAATTAAATGCTTTATATATTATTGTACAATGTGGCAATTGAGTGTCCGTCTTCCCCTACTGTTCATGCTACTTCTTGCTAAAAAGTGTTTGATTGTGAGTTGTTTTCAATTTGTCAGCAAAGCCGTTTAAGGTCAATTATAAAAACAATAAAAACAACCTCGTACAGTTCAAAACACAACAAATTTGATAACGGGAATGGTTGAAAAATGTTATCTAATACAAACGTAAATGCAGTAAATTTTACGTTTGATCAAAGTAGTATAACATGTGATATAAGAATTCAGGGCAAAACGAAAAAGTATAATGTCTGCCCTCATGTAGACACAAAACCGCTTCTTCGGGAAATACAAATAAAAAACACTTTCATGAGAACTTTTACCTGTGTAAAATAAAAGTTTTGAAGAAAAATTCAACTTTCAAGTAAGTCAAATTGGTATGCAAATTCTACAACATGGTCGAAATTCCGCATGCCGGTAACTGAGAGCATAGTCAGTGTTTCGGATTTGTTGTCAGATTTTTAAGATATTATTATTCGTTTTGTAAGTTATTGGTTTACTGCTTACATAATGAAGATATATATCATATTGCCGACGATAATCAGTCCTATAATGCGTCTGTTAGAATCTTCATTGTTCTATTTGTTTTAGATTTCATATTTAGATCAACCCTCACGCCTATTTTCTCGCCGTTAAAGTTCTACCTACGAGTCATTACTGTGTCAATCTGTAAAAGAAGGTTTAAATGTAAAACATCATATACAATTACAACAGCTGTTCCTATATTTTCTGTTAAAGTCTTTATTATCCTCGAGCATGATGATTTTTATTGAAGTCGAGAAATAAAAGTTATATTCCAAATGAAGAATGACTTCAGCTTTGCGTTTTAGATATATAAGTAGCTTAGGTATTTGTATGATATGTGAGCTAGCTATATCTATTTCGTTAATAAAAAGGTTTTACTATACCTCATGGAATTTGAACTTGAATTTATATACATTTGTTTTTCTCTTTTTCTTCTTCTTCTTCTTTTTATTTTTTGTTCCATTATCTGGTGAATATATTTGATGATATTTTCATTAGTTGCAAACAATATTTATATTTAATGTCAAGAAACATTGTGAATGCTAGGAATATGGCAGATTACGAAGAACTGAAAGAAGCCTTGACATCATCTGCTTTAATGAAGAAACCCAAGCTGGCAAAATATTTAATTAATTATTGATAGGATATTCCAGAGGTACGATATTATCCTCTTAGAAAATGACTCCTCTGACATGTTAAAAGCTTATTGTGTGGCCAGAACTTTCATTTTCATTAAATGAATATTTATTTTATTTTCATTCATTTAACGGTGTAGGTTTTACGCAGAACCTTGTTATTTTTGACTGGTCACATTCAACAGTTGAACTAAGCTTCTGACATCGACATATCGATATGTGATTACAGAATTAAAGGAAAAAGTTTATGAATCGATTGTGATTTGGTGCTCTTTAATTTACTTTTTTTAAGAACTGCATTTATATCCAAGATATATTCTCACAGAGTTTCTCGTTTAACAGATATCTTCCAATTTCCCTAAAATATTTCACATTGATAGAAAGTGCATTTAACTTGAAAAGAATGTTTTTCGACTTAGTGCTCCAGAAAAACATCACATTATGTGAAAGATTTGTACAATACAATTTTATCACATACAAAATTGGCCATACAATGAATATAAATCTGAACAGTATAGTTAATAACTCCTATTAGATGAAGCTAGGGACCATTATCGTTGAAATCCAGAATAGAAATCAAGAAATTGTACTAAACACACACAGGTGAATTACACATTTCAATAGCATATCTCAACACATAATAAGAAACAGAATAACGGCTGCATTTACCTTTTATTTTAATTGTTTTCGTAAATTTTGATAAAATAAAAACGGACAAACAAACATTTCCAAATCTAACTAGTATATGACGGTTCCAAGGTGAAGATTAATTCAATAACATTTACCTCATTTGTCCTGAAAACACTTTTCAGTAATGCCATATATTTCTAACAGACACGAACACAACTTTATATATAAGAAGTGAAGCAGTGCAATGGGAGATGTTGCCGGGCTTATGTTAAGAATAATAATTAAAAAATACATATCGTATAGTATAACAATTGCGATATATGTTTGTATGTGCTTTAATATTATTTCACATGCAATTAAATTATAATAAAGTATACCAATTGTATAGTGTGATAATGGACATCACCCAAATATCCTTAGTGATTGTTCCTATCCGTCTAATTGACATCTCCGATATATCCTTAGTTATTGTTCCTGTCCGTCTAATGGACATCCCCTATATAAACTTAGTTATTGTTCCTTTCCCCTTAATTGACATCCCCTACATATACTTAGTTATTGTTCCTATCCGCCTAATGGACATCCCCTATATATACTTAGTTATTGTTACTATCCGCCTAATGGACATCCCCTATATATACTTAGTTATTGTTCCTATCCGTTTAATGGACAGCTTCGATATATCCTTAGTTATTGTTCCTATCCGTCTAATGGACATATCATATACCAATACATCAAAAGTTATTGTTTTACCTGTTGTAAAAAATGACATGCGCAAGTCTAGTATATATAGTGTAATCTGTTATATCAGGCCTTTATAATTGATAAAGTGTTGTCGGTACCTTCGCGCTGATATCTAGTAGTGTCCATTAGACGTATTAATTTTTTGCCATCCGGTAGGGCAACGAGGTAGGCTGTCAGACAGAGATCCACGATCGGAATATTATCAAATTTCCTCAAATTCTACACATAATTGAAATTGTTTTGTTAGCAAGTCTTAGTGTACAGGCACTCATTACATATATTGGACTTTAAATGATCCTTTTTTTTCTATGCAATGGATCATCTAAAATTATGTAATTGTACATGGCTGTCCTCTTCAGACCACAAACAATACAGCTGCTACATAGGACCGCATACAACGATACATTTACTTCTATATACAAACATACTGCACTAACTACATTGTTAAGACTGTTTTCTGTGTTGTGCACCGTACGCGTAGGTACGCACTTCGTATCCATGTACATGAATCTATAGATATCTAGATTTATATTCCAACTCAATATACACAATTTATTATATTTACCTGGTTTGTGTCAAATATTATGATTTTTTCGGGGGTAAATACTAAAATACCCACTCTAGTTTATATGTACATCTATATAATATAAAGTGAGCATGTATATCATGCATATTATGTCGATATGTACCGCATATTTTGTATATCTGTTTAATATTCTTTTGTTTTCTTCGTCACTGGAGGCAATAAGGAGAATAATGGAAGATCTTATAACACATATCCCAAGCAGTATTTTGCGCCGATGAACGACAAACAAACTCCCGATAGATATACCGCTGTACTCCCTTTCATATATATCATTCTTTCGGCTTTAGGAATACTCGCTTTATGAACTCGGATCCCCAGTATCCGTATTTATAATATAAGCAATAAATTATCGTAAGAATGACATTAAAATGCAAAAGATCAAATAAATTCAATAAAAACAATAGCTGTACAAAGTCGTAATGACATACTGGTAAAACACTGGCAACATGTACAAGATATTGTGGGGTCCGTGACAATTATTATGTAGACTTCAGACTGCGAGAGGAAAGGTAACGTGTTCTAGTGTTTCAGTATACTTTAGTTAACATGTTGGTAGGTGTCTAATTTATAGGCTAAATTCTAGTCCTGTTTATAAAAAAACGACGACCATCGATCTTTTTTAAGATGGTTCATCGAAAGGTTGATGGTCCCAAAATCATTTTGGACAGTTTTTGGTTTCCATTCATTTCCTTATTTTCGTAAAGAAGGAAAAATCATAAAAATGAAAAAATATATTGACCACAATTAAGCTACCATAACCAGAATATTTCGATGCCATTAAATAATGACACTAGGGAGGAGATTTATATTCCTGCTGTAATTACCCATTGCAATGATGAGGGTCAATGCAGAGTGCTAATATCGTTTCAAACTTATCAGGGCGCATCGGTGTTTGAAATACTATCAACACGAAAAAAAGTAAGAATACAAAACATATAATACTGAGGGAATAACGATTTATTGTATAAACAGAATTATTACCGTTCTCACCTCCATTTTATAATTTGCGGCTTTCAGCATATGTGTTTCGGTGATACAATGTTCGATTCTTCCCCATTTAAAACATTTTTTCCAAATTACGCATCACGCATTCTTTTGAGTGTTATATTATATGGAAGGTCTTAAGTATTGTGCGGTAATCATTCTTCGTGGGGATTTATTTTCGTTGACGTCTTAGGTACTCTTAATTCGCGAATTCATTTATCCCTGAATTGTTGAAATTAACATCGGTAAATTTATCAAAAACCATGGAAATTGGGCCACACATAAAATAGATCATTTTACTGTATGTGTGACAATTTAGCATATCCTGATTAAATGACGATGACTACGGGGAGAGATGAAGAAGATGTTCATCTGTCCGCATTAATAGAGTCAGACAAAGAAGATGGAGATAGAATAGTATGGTCCAAAAAAATTGAAGGCATGTTTTCCTTTCTGGGACTGTGTGTGGGACTAGGAAATCTGTGGAGGTTTCCTTACCTATGTATGCGAAATGGAGGTGGTAAGTCTTTGATTTTTCATGTCCAAACGATCAGATAAGATTATCGATAGATACTTTCTGCTTAAATCAAACATCATGCTAAGTTGTATAGCCGTTTTAAAGGAGACGATTGAATTGGGAAAGACTTTTCTTATTTGATATACTTATCCACGTGTTTCCCCCTTGCTAGTTGACATCATACAGCAAAAGTATTTTTCCTCAGTCAACCATACATTAAAGGACAATCTCCAACACTGTAAGCTTTCAATAAATCCTTGACAGTATCATATTTTAAAAGAATTTTGGAAGGAGAAGCATATTTACCTTTCCAATTTTTTATTTTATTGTCATGGATCTGGTAAAAGTGCATTTCTTATTTATACATCGTGTATAAAACGAATTGATGCGCAATGTCACTTTCAGAAATATCCAAGATATGTCGCAAGAAAATGTTTAATGTCTCAACGGATTAAACACATCGGAATATTTAACTGTATTTCCATTGTCCAATCGTGTTGATGTTTCGTTAATACATTTGAAAGTTTTGCCTCATACTCGCACTCTGTTTTAATACCGTTCATCATCACCAATGTTCATTAATCTTAAACAAGATTTATATTTTCAAATATTTGTTTCTTGTCCTGCTTGTCTTTACAGGGGCGTTCCTTATTCCATTCTTGCTTTGCTTGCTTTTCTGTGGTTTCCCGTTGTTTTTCTTGGAAGTGAGTTTAGCTCAGTTCACAGGCAAAGACGCACTGCACACCTGGGAAGTCTGTCCAATTTTCCGAGGTTACTCTTAATACATTTAAAGTCAATTTGCTCCAAATCATAGAGAAAATACCGCCATGTCAACAAAAGTTAGCAAAATATCAATGACACGTTAACATTAAAATTCGTGAAAAAAAAATTCATTGATAATGGGTTCAGGAGGGATACGCGTCTTCTGTTTCATCGGCAACACCCGATACGTATATTAATGTAAGTAAGTAACATTACGTCCTCTATTGAGAACAATGCTAAGGCGTTCTAAGCTTAAAGTCAAAAAACAAAATCATGCTAAAGGTTCCTCGAAATACGATTTATGTAAAAGTATCGAAAAGTACACCCGGCACTGTTAACGCTATCCTTTGTTTGGTTAGGTGTTGGACACGGAATGGTCATTGCCACTTTTGTGATGACATTTTACTACAACGCTAATACAGCATGGATCATGTTTTACCTCGGGAACTCCTTCATTACCCCTCTTCCTTGGAGAAGCTGTGACAATGACTGGAACACAGATTTCTGTGTTAGTTCAAGGTCATTCAACGCATCAGAATCTGCGACAAACTTCACACGTGGCAATTTGTATGACGAGACCAGATTGATGACAGAAAACATTAGTCATCAGCAAAATTCCAATGTGACTTTTCCAGATGAGCTTATCAAACATAAATATGTTACAGCTGAAGAGGAATTCTGGCAGTAAGTTAGTGTGACAATTGAACAGTTTCGTTCTTGTAATTCAAAAGTGCGTCCAAAACAGCTAAATAAAGAAAAGTGATCGATAATGACAAGATTCCAAGAAAATTACTGAACAATTGATGAAGTACGTTAACCGAACAGGAGAAATTTTAAATGGTCCTATTACGGTTTTGATTGTTTTTTCTGATATGCTATACTTTCAAACATCTTTATGTTACATTTTTGCTACATATCAATAATAATGATTAAATATGTGTTTGTATAATAACACGAATGTTTATGATTTGAGCGACTATAGTACAACTTCTCTGAGTAAATTAGAAGACCGGGCTACACAGGGACATAGGGCAAGATTTACTTTCCGAAATATACGTTATCTAATTTCAATTTAAGTTGTCCGGAGTTATCTCCCTTTTTTAAGATGCCAGTCTTTGAAACCGATTCACATGGGTCTTAAAATCGGCGTAGTAGGTGAAATATCACGATGGTTGTGAACTATTTTCCGTTTTACTGATTAAAAAACACCAAGGATGGACACGACGACATTTTAAATATAATAATAATATAGAAAACGTCATCAATCAAACTATAACATTGTGCATCAAACTGTATATTTGTTTGTGTTTGGTTACAGGTATAGAACCCTCGAGATATCTAAGGGGATAGACGTCCTTGGTCACATACCATGGCACTTAGCTGTCTGTTTCCTCGCTGCGTGGACGTTGGTGACTCTGTGTCTGATAAAGGGAGTGAAATCCATGGGGAAGGTAAATCAAGGTCCATTTGGCATGTTACAGATGATCCTATGTGTTATGAATGGTGCATTAGTTTGGTATGAAATTGTGGAGCATTTCATTTAACAATTCCTTTTTATTTCAGTTATTAAAAAAATCAAAAGCGTCAAAGTTGGCCACATAATAATGATATTTCATTTTCTATCTTTTCACCCTCACTTTCGTTTGTTATCGTAAGTATTTTGCATACACCTCAATATATTCAATATTACAGACTAACATCCTTATTTTTTAGACGTAGATACATTGTTTGTATTACTTAATTTGATCATACTCGAAAATTAGTGAGCGATTTTAGAAGTTATAAATAAGGTATTTGATTCGCATTCTTCAGCCATTTCTTCTTAGTACACAACCTCTACCTGATTGTTTAAAATAGGTATGCAATGGCACAAATCTTTCAAATTTAATTACTTTCATTAGAGCAAGCAAACATGAATAAGGCGTTTTACTAACATTATAGCAACGCTTAACTAAGCGAACTAGCAGCAGTAATACTGTGAATGTCATGCGCCACAAAAATATATTCAGATTAAGATTAAAAGGAATTATATCCATAAAAATGTAAAATTGACGAATTTCTTTGCTCTGTTGACGTACTCAAAGAACACTATAGAGAGTAAAGTAATCAATCACGTGATAAAAAGTCTTCACATATTTCTTGATGTAATACCTGATCAGATATTCCATTATTTACTTACAGCTAAGGTGTACTACAGGGGTGAGGACTTTGTGTGATTCTTATTTTGTTGTGTATACATAGTACAATTCAATTGACCTAGATAAGCTATGATGACATTATAATTCCTGTTACAAATTATACGTAATGATATTATTATTAGAAAAGAACTATTAAAGTAAATCAATTAGCTATACAGAGATAGGTATTGATAATAGAACAATGAATAATGATATAATTTACATCCTGAATTACTCATTATTTACAGGTAGTGTATCTGACTGCAACGTTGCCATATGTACTATTGACGGTTATCCTGATACGAGCCAGTTTTCTTCCTGGAGCTACAGATGGGATGTTATTCTTTTTAAGTCCCGATTTTGAGAAATTAAGACAACCTCAGGTAGTTTTTAGTTATGTATATTTGATTAACACTATATCATAAAACTAAAGGCGAAAGAGTGTTAAAAATATACATTGATTGCGTTACTACCCTGTCATAAGTACAATCGTACAAAGTACATATTTTTTGTTATTACATATGTGTAATATGACCTAGGTGACTTTTGATTGACTATCGTTCCTATTGCGACGTCATAACGTCACAAAAGTAGCACATGTACACTGAGAATATCGAAAATTTTAGGATCTATGTTAAGTGACAGACAGAAAGTCGATTCCATTTTCTCGATAGAGGCTCAGGTGAAAAGGAAAATTTTCAGTCTCTATGAAAATAAATCATGTAAGATCATCTACTTGTATCTGTATGATGTCACATGCTGACGGACAAAGAATAGCGCTAATCACGGCTGCACAGGGTTATGTGCGTGTTTTATTTTAACTTTCATGTGCGTTTTAAATAGGAGGAATGAATAAAAAGTACAATGAACAATGTTAACATCCTTTTTAGGTTTGGGTAGAAGCTGCTTTACAAGTGTTTTACTCCCTTTGTCCGGCCTGGGGACAACTGATGACAATGGCTAGTTACAACAAGTTCCATAACAATTGTTACAGGTATATAATGTATCACAATTAAAATTTTGCGATAAGACTATCTCAGGAGATATATTACAGTTTACTAAATCCGTCATTTCATCTTTTGGTTTTCACTTGCTCAACTGATTTGAGGTAAAATTGTGAATTAGCTTAAGAAAATTGGTAGTGACATTCGAAACGTTTGCGACTTTTTAAGGGACTCCATTATTCTTACCATCCTTGGGGAAGGTACCAGTATATACGGCGGGTTTGTGGTGTTTGCTGTGATTGGATACATGGCTCACGACGCCAATTTGCCTATAGCTAGTGTAGTGAAATCAGGTAAGGGACATTATATTCATCGTGAAATATTTTCTTCTCTTTTGTGCGTAGAATTTCGTTAAGTACGTCAATTGTTAGTAACAGTGTTCGGCTTTAGATGATATTGTGAACGACTTAAAATCCAGCCCCAGTTAATGCTTAATCATACTTGAGTGGATTTATTTATTTGACTTCGTGTATATCTTCAACAGCTACTACAATATAATATATTTTTAAGGGGCCCAATTTTCGTGGGTTTTTTTAAGTCCTATTTCAGGGACATTTCAGTTCGCCGAAATATATAGCATAATAGATCTTCTTATGCTAATTTTAAAAATTCGTGGAAAAGGGAAATCGTGGATTAAGAATTTACAGTACTTCGATAGTATTTAACATATACGAAGAAACGTTATTTTATCTGGCTACTACGAAATCAGCAAACATTTTTCCCACGAAGGTTTATTGTATATTACTGAGTCTACAAATAAAAACAATAGTTATTTCATTTGACTTTATCTGACAGTGCTAAGTCTCCACCATGATGCTGTTTTTGAAATAACGAGCACACACTTTTCAATATGTTGTGGTCGTTTTTCTTTAGGGCCTGGTTTAGGGTTTGTGGTATATCCAGAAGCTCTATCTAAACTACCTCTTCCAAACCTATGGGCCGTGTTGTTCTTCCTAATGTTGCTTTCTGTGGCTTTGGATAGTCAGGTACGTCAGATATCTGTTTTTTATTATCTTTATCAATGTATTAATATTGATAATGATAGTTTAAGTATATATTTGCACTACTAAATGGATTATGCATACTCGGATACTGTTTTATGCAAATCAGTTTTCGTGAGATATATGTAACTATAGGACAGTTATGATAACGATATTGTTTTGATTGTTTTGTAATCACGTGATATTCTTTATATATAATGTTGATCTCATTCGCCTTACACTTTCTGTGGGGTTTTTTTTCTTCAGGTATAATGGTTTAGTTAATCTATTATTAGCAATTTTTTCGAAAAAAAAATGTCTAAAAAGCAGCAGAAAGAAAATAAAAAACGTACAGAGAAGATTAAATAATTATATTTTTTCTGATCTCGAAATAAAGATTTCATGCAACAAATATAATTTCTGAACTAAAATGTTTCCGTAAGACAGCTTTTGATGGTGTATTCATTAATTGTCCTATTTCGGATGTATGACTTTTATTGTTGTAGTTTGCTTGCGTGGAAGTGGTGATAGCGGCAGTCATGAATCATTTTCAATCACTGCGGAAGAAGCAACTTGTAATGACCATTTGTGTATCCATGGCCTTGTTCTTACTTGGACTATTCTTATGTACACAGGTTCGACATTTCTTATTTTTCTTAACGCTGTTTTGAAAGAAAATATCACAGTCGTGGTCTGTGTAGGAATATACTTTTTGAAACTGAAATACAATGGAAACACAATGTAATAATATTCCATCCTCAAAATTGTATAAATTATGTATATTAAACGTCATCTATGAATATTTATAGGGGAAAAATTCCATACATTTCACAGTCACATACTTTTAATTTATACTACAGGCTGGGATATACGTCTACCAAATATTAGACTGGTATGTTGCGGTGACCTTACCCATCCTTGGTTTTATCGAGTGTATCATATTTGGATGGATATACGGTAAATACACTTTCTTTATTTTATGTATTTTCTTGTTATGCTTTTGTTTGTTTATTTGTTTGTTTTTTTTCTCGTTTCTTCTTCGTTTACTGGTAATCACATATCACATGCATAGACTTCCAAACTAAATCTAAAGTGAGTTTATCTTTTCAGGGGCCGAACGGTTTTCAAAAGATGTGAACATGATGCTTGGTCGTCAAATTCCTGTGTTTGTTCGGATATGCTGGTGTTTTATAAACCCTATCGTACTTTTGGTATGCGTAAATTTTATATGACATTTAAAAACATTCCAACCAGGTTTTTTTAATCACGGAAAAGAAGTGAGAATCATACCAAATATGGTTACCCAGCCGTAAACATCTCTTCTCGTTAGAATTGTACATAATATTTTCAGAGCTTCAATGACTACTTCAAGTAACAACGTATTAACTATGTTTACAGAATTTTGTGATGTATCAATTAGTCAGTGATAAAGATAACATATACAAGAATACATTTCAGTATTTAGTAAATCACGAATCAATATTGTATTCAGGTCCTACATTTAAAGATGAACTGACAACAGGATAGGAATGGATGATCATAAGTATCCATTAATCATCATTATGGACTCTCGGGATTTTCACAATAACGGCATGATTTCTCGCAACTTTTACATAAGGATCAAATAGTAATGTGGGCATTAGGCCATAGAAATAAAGCATGAATTGGATGACAGGTTGTCCTTTTTGTTCAGTTTATTATTTTTTCATTTTTTTTTGTTTTGTTTTTTGCTATTTTGTTTTTAAATCTACAACAATAATGTTAGAAATTTAAAAAAAAAATAAGAATTTAAAGTGCAATCAAACCGAAAAGATATTCCGTTATTAAGAAAAATAAAGAAGTAAGAGTACAAACGGACGAAATGACAGACAGAGGCAGATTTTTATAAATTACTCCCAACTTTTGGCAACGGTGAACTTTAGAAAAAAATGTTTAGGTAAATATAAGTTAAGGTATTGACCCGGCCTGAACCGGAACGAAGGGATCTAACTCCAACAAACCCGACTTCTAATTTTTCAACGAAATTACGTTGATAATTTTATAGTATTAAGCTATTTCACGTGAAAACATTGAATGTTACATAATTTCAATTTATATAATTTACTCTCCAACATTTATGGAAACAACACTGACGTCATATGAAGCTACGATAGTAAGGTAACACATCTGCGCCAGAAGACTGCAAGGAACCATTCCGTACCGATGAATCCGGGTTTTTTATTTACTTTTTCCGCATAGGGACGTAATTACTGGACTAAGCTGTAGAAAGAAATGTTAAGACAATGTATAGAAATAATAGCACTTAACTGATATTACCTAATTTGAAAAAAAAATGTTAATGACTATCAATCAATTTTCATCAATTCTCACTCATTTAGACTGAAAGAATGATTGCATTTTGTGTTCTTACATATATTTTCAGGTACTATTTGTGTTCACATTTGTATCATATGAGCCCCCAACATACGGAGACTATGTGTACCCATCTTACGCTAATATCATTGGATGGTTGATAGGAATGCTTCCCATAGTACCCGTGGTTTTGGTTGGAATCATGACCGTCTTGAAAACCCCTGGACAGTCAGTGTTCGAGGTACGGTTTCTATGTATACTGTCAACAGGCAAAAAAAAGTCTTTATCGACATACCTACTTTAATAGAATCTTCCTGGTCAGACGTGTGTTTTGAAAGTTTCACTTGGCTCTAACACAAGATGTCTGAAATTTGGATCCACATGTGTCTATTGTGGGGCAAGAGCAAGTTCTTGCGTGTTTGTTTTGTTTTGTTTATGTTTTTGTTTTTGTTTTTTTTTTGACAAACCCACAAAGGCCTACATGTGACACAGCTTTTCATTTCATCTCGGCCTTGGCGTTCACATATCAATTTCCTCCTGAGATTTTCTTTTAAAATCTTCGAATAAAATAAAAACAAATATCGAATCGTTATTTAAGTAGGAAGGTCAGCTCTGTTTCCTCTCAGAAATGAATTTCCATATCTTAAAGATTACAAATGGGAGCCTGAAGTTGGTTCCCAGCTTTTTATTTGTTGAATATATACAATTATTCTCGTGCAAAATGTAACACAATCTGTTCTTCATTTCAGAAATTTAAAGCGTCTTTCAAACCCTCACCATACTGGAAACCGATATCTAAAAAGCATGCGATGGACTATCACATTGACAACAGCGCGGCGTCACTCGGACTCTTGGAACAGATGAAACTAAATATTTTGGGGAAATAGTGACTGCAGTTCTCGAAATGGCTCAACAGAAATTTGCCAACGGTTTACTAAAATGATTTCGAGCAGTTTAAATTGATTTTGTCCTAAAACGGAAACCGGATTGACGACAACAAATATACTAGAGATAGTAACTGTATATGATACATTACTCCTCACGTTGCACTTCGGATCAGAATATTTGATATATAGTATTTATCAAACCATTCCATTTGCATGTACCTCTACGTTAAAGTGTACCTTGAGTGAATATAGAAACGAACACAGACTTATTCCTTATGATCCATAATTTTAATATGGAGATGTTGGCGTGTAAAGTGTACGATTTTCACCTGTCCTACTCCTAATTAGCCAAAAGGTGTCTCGCGCTGAATGGGACGCTATCGGCTATGACGTCACAAGTACAACGACTGGTAGCAGATGCCTTGGTCAGAATAGTCGAGATCGAAAATAGCTACGTTATGCAACATCAGATTTCAAATGAATGTTTTATAGTTTGTTATAATATGTTTAATCTGTCTCTGTCGACACTTCCAGACAAACAACAACATAATATCGTTTCGTGCTATGAGAAATAATAGTATGCATGTGTAAGCTGTTTGCTTGTAATATAGTAATACCGACAACCCGACTACATAGAGTAATGAATGGTCAGATATTATAAAACGTGTGTATGTTTATTCTCAGAAATTACATTTAATTTATTGCTCACGTGCTGATGTGAAAATTATATCTGCGTGTTATCCAGAATGATGCAAAAACAGTTTTCCTATAATGTTACTGAAAGGTGAAATAAAACGAATTGATTTAAGAAAAATAGCATTCATAATCTTGTTCAAATTTTCGTAATTTGATGGGTTTGGAGTATCTGGCATTTGTGCAAGTATGCAACGAGTTTTTTTCATCTGTGGACCACCTTTCACTTCAGGCTGGTTTTTTTTTCAAATCACCATTCGTCCCTGGTACATGTATATAACTCGGGTGGTCATTTTTAATTAAGGAGCAGGGAAATTTTTTTTCTGCGTCTTTGGATATAAAAGTAAGTATTCAAGTTACGTTTTACAACCCGAAATTCGTTCAAGTCCTTTCTGTGGACATCAAAGTGTCGTCATAATAAAAACAATGAATCTACATTGGGATGCTTTTCAAAAATATTTTGACCATAGGTGGATGAGCGATTTTGTCTCAACTCTTTTTCTTCTTCCAAATCGCACTTCCTGTATAGACCTTTTTTTAAAACAAAACCAATTTCCTCACAACAAATAAATATGTAATTTCTTATATGTATTTGACATTGATCTTAATAGTATTGACGCTGTAAATGTACGAAATGAAGTTTGGGATATGTAAACGTACATATGTAAACCATGCAGTGTTTAGAATCAGGGTGGATTGCTACTGATCATCCAATCCAGGGATACATACTGAGACTTTGGAGGTCTGGAGTCTCCTTTTCTGTGCCCCATCCCAAACTTTGACCCAGTTAAATAGTTCACATACACATAGTGAAAGTGGTATTGCGTACTATTCGCTACTATTACTTTGCATTTGAGTAATTTCTGCTTTCAACAAACTCAATCAAACTGCCCAAGTCATTTCACATATGCAACATTTAATTACAAAGGCACTGTGCCCTACACCACAGACAATAGAATCACAGACACCCCTCTTCTGGTCCGCCTTACCTTATTCATTTCGTTTCCTCTTCCGAACCAACATCATCTTCGAACATGGAACAAGAACAGGAAAACTACGATTGCGCAATCATGTTACAAAACGGCCTCCCTGGCTGCCGTATCGAAGTTTTAACAAGGTCGAAAAATCACAACACTTTTTTGACTATCTTTCCTTAACATTCACGTCAATATTTAGCTCAATGGCACCAGTGGAAGTGGAGAAGTTCAAAAATGTTTTTCACGATGGCGGCGATCTTGGATTTCAAACATACCGAAAAATGACAACACTTGATCATGACCATCCCAAGATCATTTCATGCAAGTTTGAGCTCAATCCCATTGATAGAACTTGAGAAGTTTCAAATGTCGAAAGGTTACGTATGGTGGACGACGGACGAATAACAATGGCTTCGGGTCAGATGACCTAAAAATTGTTATAAGTTTGTGTGGAGCACTCATGGGGTCATGTTTGGCAGGTTTCCTTTAGATCTTTTACAAGTTTAGCCTATTTGATTATATAGTTGAAGGAGAGATAATTGTATCGTTTTTATCCTGAACAATCCCCAGATGATCAAAATATTAAAGGACGAAGTTTGAGCTAATGTTGACAGAAATTTCAATACCGGTTTTAGAAAAAATCGCTTAAAACCAGCTATGGGTTCAATGCCATATAAATAAGGTACCACTGATGTATTCAGAAATGTAAGGCAATGGAAACTGATATAAGGAAAAAGACAAAAATTAAATGGTTAATTTCTTTTTTTATTGTGACCTTTTTTCAAGTATATAAATATACACATACAATTATAGAATGGACCACCAATTGAAATATATTTATTGCATAATACATTCTCATACACAAACACACTGCTGTGCCATTCAAACGCCATTCAACATAAAAAATGTAGTACTTTCACACTTTTCCATAGTTAAATCATCAAGGATCATGTTGTTTCAAGCTGGGTGATTGTTAGCACTCTTGATAAGCTGAGTTCAGACCCAGTTGTGAACCCAAAAAGTAAGTACTTCACATAGACCTAGTCAGCCCTGAACAACTACAAGATAATCAACATGAGGCAGAAAACAAAACGTGAGACTTCATCCATACTTGATCGGTTGCTGACACGATTTCCTTTCCAAAATAAAGAAATGTCAAGAACTCAGCTGAATCAATAGCACTGATTTCTTATTAGCAACTCTGACAGACATATCAAAAAGCAGATAACACAATACTGCTACACATGACATATCAATTTCGACAAGCCTTGTGAAGAAATAAAAAAAAATGTCATAGCAATTAAAGAATCTAACCAAATGATTTTGAATAATTTTTTTTCTCGAGTGAAAAATGTATTTTCAATAGTTTTGAGTTGGGATTTCCTTACAGTCAAAGAGGTACCATATTGTCAATGAATGACAAACTGCTTCATGAAAAAATGAAACCCATAGTAACTTTAAAAATCACAACTAAACATAAACTAAACTGATATTCACACCATGAACACATTGGTGGAAGAATATTCAAATCTCGTACAGCGCTGGAAATCCTCATCAAGAAATATCTAAAAGGACCAGAAATATTTTAAGATTAATTTTTTTCCGAGGAGGATGAATACAGTTCAATGAATAAAGCCTTTAAAACACAGAATGCTGCCTTGCTTTGTTTTAAAATAATGCATGACAATAGCTATTGAAAGCTGATCATTGTTCGACCAGTAAGAGGGAACAGATTACTAATGCCAGATTGATTTAGATAATATATTTATCTTATTGAAAAAAATATTTGAAGGAGAAAGACTGTGTCTATATATACAGTTTATTTATAAATGTATTCCAGATACTATTTCTTTTTGTTGAGTACAAAGAAGTGCTTATAAATATTTGCTTCATAAAAACATCAACAGATCTAGACATTAAGTAGTAAAACTATAATACAAGTTACAACCTGTTGTGAACATTCACACACTATCACCCAATACAGACAAATAAACATACACACTAGAAATAGGTGAGGATATATGCAAAAAAAAAGATTACAGGAAAAGGCAAGAAGTCAGGAAAATAGAAAAGGTTGAGAGGTAAAATAGGAATGAAAGAAGGACAGGAGATAGAAACTGTCACTCTATACCAAGATAAAAGAAAATTAGGTCAGTCTAATTGTGACTAAATTGTTCAGTTGTAAAAAGAGTACACATTTTAGGTGGATATACAACAGCCATTGCACTATACTTACTTTTAATTTAATTGAAACAATACAAAACAATTTTGTGGCAAGTTCTAAAAATGACTTTCTTTTAAATAGGCAAAGTGAAAATTATTTTACTACAATAACAATTTTTTCCCCAAAAAAGAAAGTAAAACATCAAGTCAAAATTTGACTTTTTTTCCTCTTTCCAACTCCTGCTAACTAAGCTATTAAAAGAGACACATACATATAGCTGAAGGGAAAAAAAATCAAGAAAATACAGAGATAATTTCTTTGACTGGCTGTACACCACTTGTTTTCTATAAATAGTACCCATCTTTTACATCAATGAGACTCCATAAATCTCGAGATCAAGGAAACATTCAGATGTGAGAGTCATAGTCCTCGTACAAATTCAGGAAGATTGGAAATGTTATGTTTTGGAACTTACATGTCACCAGTTCATCAGTAGGCACATTAAGCAAGGCATTTATGTAAATAAATCAGGTAATGAAAAACATCAATAAATCTAGTAAATTAAAGAACACAGAATATTTTACAAGTACAAAAAAAAAGACTTTCTTTTCTGAATAAAAAAATATAAATAAATGAAAAAACAGAGAACACATCTCCCTTTAAAACGACCTGATTTTTATGAAATTTTCTTATGGTCTCTTCATCATGATTAGAATGTAAAGGCAAACAAGATTATGCACAACTTTAAATTTTGGCCCAAGATGTCCCAGGAGGAATAACCTGTATGTAATATAATCCCAGAGGTAAGTTTTCACACTATATACATATAAGTAATGGTATACACATTCCATGGATGGTCTATGATAAGTGGGAATTTAAAATGAATCTTCACTGTTCAATGTTAGCACTATTGTATGTCTATAGCTGCTTTGCATCACATGAAAAAGTATTCTTCCAAGTTGAAATATCGGACTACTGAAACCTTTAACTGCAAATTGTGTTTTTCCTCTGCTCCAAGAAAAACAATACCTCAGTATGAAATATGTTTTTCTAATTTATGAGGAATAGCAATCCAATTAAAACTATAAATTTTCAACAATATTGAATAGAAAGGTATATGAAAAAGCAACGTTTAATCTAAATGTCTACTTCAGTAAACCAAGAACCTGTTTTTCCTCATTTTGAAGCCAATTTTAAGGCAAATTTGAGTTCAAGATAATTGATGTCATGTTTGTGACTAGAGATCAAAATGCTGGTGTCGTGAGATTGGCTGGAAGTCCAGATTTGTCCAAGTTAGCAAAGTAGGAATGATTGAGCGCCCTCTTTGCAGAGATTCTGTACGCTGGATCATAAATCAACATTTGCTGGAAAAAAAGAAGAAAGAAAGTTAATATTGTCACAGTACAATAAAACCTTATCCTACCACATCATTCTTTAAGCATTTAACACACTGGCAGGCTTTGTGATGTGTGAACATAAAATAATAAAATTACAAGTAAATGAACAAAAACAAAAGGAAAACTATTGTTTTTAAATAATGTTACAAACGAAGGAAGCTCTGCAGGGTAAAAAACACACAAAGTTGAAACTTTGAAGTTTGAGGGAGGACAGTTTAAATGGTTCTACTGAGAGATGGTGCATTATTTCTTACACACTAAAAGGTTGTAGGTCACACCTATGAACAATTAACTCAATCTCATCATCTGCCATCCACAGGGACAGCTACCAACTTAAATAATTATTTTTCATATCCAAACCATTATATCACTGCCTACAGTGGACTGTATGCTCTTCAATTCAAGATTCAAAGATTTATGCTAACACATGGTTTATCATATCGTTAAAAGAAATCTACCACAAACCTAAAGCATGCCTCACATTGTGTATCACTAAACTTCAAGCTATCATTTAGGGGTGATTTCACCAACTGGAATCTATGGTCCAGCATACCGATATTTGAACAGGAAATATTGCAGTGTATATGTTAATGTTTATACAGAGACATGTCACAGGAATACGTAGATAACATTGTCAAAGTAACAAACAAGTCTCTCTGTACTAATACAAGGGGTGCACAAAAGCCTAAAATTTCACTTTGTTATAACGAGTTGAAAGTGTATAATGTATGCAAATCCAAGTTTTTGTGTCAAAGTATCCTCTTGTGCTACTATAGGAAATTGTGATTCCCACCTGAAGCATCAATACCGAATATTGATATCACAGCACAATTAAAAGGCATGTGTAGTGATGCTTATCAACACCAAAATCACTACATTCAATATTATGAAATTGATTTTTTCTTCTGGTTGTTAATTATGTAAGAGATGATTTTTTGTGTGTCCCAACCAGTATTCCTTTGAAACTTTGTGCCAAAACCTTTACAATAGATATGACATGGCACATCTAAATCCAAAAATTACATTAGAGAAAACCATTGAATTCTTAAGTGTTTTAAAATAGTTTTCTTTCCAAAATTATTCATTCCCACTCCAGGTAGTATAATTTAACTCCCACAGCAACTCTCAAAAACAAAAACAAACTAAAAAAAAAAACCAGACCTTTCTCTAAAAAGTCTTGTATAAAGACTCCTAGAAGTAAAAAATTACACCCATAGAAAACCTGAAACAAAATATCGGTACCCTAGTCATTTAAAAAAGTTTTTTTTTTCATACCTTTTGAAGCTTGCACCAAAAACTTACACATTTAGATACTTACACCAGTGCTACAGTGAGAACATATGCTCCCTCTTTGAGAGGCAAGCTAAAAAGGACCGACAAATGACAGCTTTTTGTCTTCAACAAATCAAATAAAATACATAAACTAATCATGATAGACATCTCTGAGTTGATCATTAAGATTCACATCATCATATTTGCATCACTGTACCTGTAAGATATCCAGACCAGTATTGTCCAGTTGTTTGACCGCTGAGGCCAGCTGATTCGTTCTCCAGTTTGGAAATGTGGGTTTGTAATCTGGCATGTTTGTCACTCCTGGCCAGTCTTCTTCAGTGGGTGTGGTCAGTGTTCTGTAACACAAATGAATTGTTAAGTTTGTTTGTTGTGTCCATTGCCTCATGAACATCATTTAAGAAACTCAGTCTCCAGGAGAAAGCGTCCAACCCTACACCTCAGATCTTCACTTGAGGTTGTGTAGGCTTATGCTCTACAAAATGACCATAGCTCCTTTGATTGCTGGGTAATAAAGCATAAAAGTTTAACAGTCAAAACAGAAAACATAGCAGCATTCAAAATTTTCATGAATAAAACTGAAACTTCAATACTTGGTTGAACATCACTTCAAATGTATTTGCAACCCACCTGAATATCCGGAAAAGTTGATCAATTTCAGAATCTCCATGAAACAGTGGTCGCTTCGTGATCATTTCAGCGAATATACAACCTATACTCCAGATATCAACAGGGGTAGAATATCTCTGACAACCAAGCAAGATTTCTGGAGCACGATACCACAGGGTCACAACCTAGATAAGAATAATCATAACATATGACATGTAACACACAAAAACGTTAACAAATAACACACAAACATGCTAACAATCAAAATATCATTAAATTTTATATATATATATATATATATATTTATGGTTAAATTCTCTCGTTATCTACTTGTATGTTATCTCCATTAAAAAAATGATGAAGCATAACCAACTCAATTAAATTGTTTTTTTTGCATTTTCTTAGTCTTTGATCAGACAAGCTTTGATTTTAGGCTTTTAATGACAAAATACTCTCTTTTCCCTTTTCCACTTCCAAATGAAATTGAAAACAAAAATATAGACAACACTTCCAAGATGTCTCAATTTTTTTTTATTCCTACTAAAGTGCTCAAAGAAGCACAAACACCCTGAAGTTAAATTAATGGGCATCGAAGCCTAACATCTGATGTGACAGATTCTTCGCAATATTGTATCACTGAATGATTTGTAATAATCACAGAACTACATACCTCATGTGTGTAGACTCTGACAGGGATACCGAAAGCCCTTGCCAGGCCAAAGTCTGCCAATTTGATAATTCCCTTGTTATCGATGAGAAGATTCTGTGGTTTTAGGTCGCGGTGTAATACTCGCCGCTGATGACAAAACAGTATACCTTGCATAATCTGGTACAGGTAACTCTGTAAACATAAACAATACAAATATTTTTACACATACCCCTACTCCAATCAGGAAGAGGCACTGGCTTCCAGGAAAACAATGAATGGAAATACAGGAAATTACTTCAAAGTCCTTGTTTCTTCAATGTCAACATTCCAACTTTTCAAACAACCACTTTTTAACCAAGCTGTTGGCAAGTGGGATCTAAAAGTTGGACTTGCTTAAGAAAAAAGCAAATTCTCCTTTTGAACATCATAACATACAAAATTGGCACAGATTTTTTGTCACCACTGATCCAGGTCACATACCTTGACTAACATTTTATCCATAAATTGGCCAGACGGTATGGAGTCCATGTAGCGTTTCAGGTCCATCGACAGAAACTCAAACACAAGAAAGAGCTTGTTCTCCTGCATAAGGACATCTTCTAGCCTGTAAAAAAATTGTCTCATTTCATTGACGGTACACTCACAAAGAGAAACAAAAGCAAAATAAATGAATGGGATATGACATTTACATGCCTACCTCTGACCTTTCAACTTTTGACACATGACCACATAAGTCTAGTCAAGATGTAGAGCTTTACTTTTATACAGTGGAAAAATAGTCTGATATATTTTGGAGGAGTTAATAATATACCTGTTGGCTTTTCCCTAATTTTTTCTATGGCCATGCCCCTGGCTGTAGCAACAGAAGGATGGCAAAGTGTGGTCCAAATATACCCAACAACATGTGCTAAACATATCCACCAACATTAAGTAAAATATAACCCCCTAAATATTAGGTAAATGGTCTTTCAGAGGAAACTGCTGCATCTTTGCAAAGAAAGCTTCTCATCTAACTTTCAGTAAATATGTCTGATAGTCTGACGCTGTTCAGTCAGGCTATATCCGACAGCTGATACTGTCCAGTACTATCTGAACCAGCCTGATACTGTCCAGTACTATCTGAAACAGCCTGATACTGTCCAGTACTATCTGAACCAGTCTGATACTGTTCAGTACTATCTAAACCAGCCTGATACTGTCCAGTACTATCTGAAACAGCCTGATACTGTCCAGTACTATCTGAAACAGCCTGATACTGTCCAGTACTATCTGAAACAGCCTGATACTGTCCAGTACTATCTGAAACAGCCTGATACTGTTCAGTACTATCTGAAACAGCCTGATACTGTTCAGTACTATCTGAAACAGTCTGATACTGTTCAGTACTATCAGAAAGAGTCTGATACTGTTCAGTACTATCTGAAACAGTCTGATACTGTCCAGTACTATCTGAAACAGTCTGATACTGTCCAGTACTATCTGAAACAGCCTGATACTGTCCAGTACTATCTGAAACAGTCAGATACTATTCAGTACTATCTGAACCAGCCTGATACTGTCCAGTACTATCTGAAACAGTCTGATACTGTCCAGTACTATCTTAACCAGCCTGATACTGTCCAGTACTATCTTAACCATCCTAATACTGTCCAGTACTATCTGAAACAGCCTGATACTGTTCAGTACTATCTGAAACAGTCTGATACTGTTCAGTACTATCTGAAATAGCCAGATACTGTTTAGTCAGGCTATACCCGACAGTTGGTACTGTCCAGTACTCTCTGAAATAGCCAGATACTGTTCAGTCAGGCTACATCTGGCACCTGGTACTGTCCAGTACTATCTGAAACAGCCAGATACTGTTCAGTACTATCAGAAAGAGTCTGATACTGTTCAGTACTATCTGAAACAGTCTGATACTGTCCAGTACTATCTGAAACAGTCTGATACTGTCCAGTACTATCTGAAACAGCCTGATACTGTCCAGTACTATCTGAAACAGTCAGATACTATTCAGTACTATCTGAACCAGCCTGATACTGTCCAGTACTATCTGAAACAGTCTGATACTGTCCAGTACTATCTTAACCAGCCTGATACTGTCCAGTACTATCTTAACCAGCCTAATACTGTCCAGTACTATCTGAAACAGCCTGATACTGTTCAGTACTATCTGAAACAGTCTGATACTGTTCAGTACTATCTGAAATAGCCAGATACTTTTTAGTCAGGCTATACCCGACAGTTGGTACTGTCCAGTACTCTCTGAAATAGCCAGATACTGTTCAGTCAGGCTACATCTGGCACCTGGTACTGTCCAGTACTATCTGAAACAGCCAGATACTGTTCAGTCAGGCTAAACTTTTGTTTAACTGGTAATGGCAACACCATTTCTAAGTCAAAGGAAAAAACCCACTTGAACGCTTTAAAATAGCAAACTAAAAGGTCTGAAAAGATTAGTGAGGCAAATAAACTTGCTTAGCTTTAAATAAGCTTATGTTTCTGGGTATGTTACAGGAATAACTCTTTAATTCATCGTATCCTTGACGGATGTGATTTTACCTCTTTCATGAACACCTTTTCTCTGTCTCTAAAATATAGTCAACAAAAATGTAACTATCAATAACAGCATAATAAATGTGAATATTGGCATAAAGTTAGCATATCAGAAGCAGGCATTTTCAGCCTAGTCCTACATGCCCCATAATACTTGCTAAAACGTTCCATCATATCCAAAATTATAAGCTAAATGTTTCAAATAAAAATATAACTCACTATATTAGCTGAAGATTCCATACATACTCCACAAAATTAACATATTATCACCTAAATGGCCTAAACACACCCAACAAACAAGATAAGCTAAAAGTCAAAACATACCCGACAATATTGGGATGCTGTAATTCTTTCAATAATGATATTTCTCTGATTGCTGTGGAGGGAACACCTTCCTCTTCACTCTCCAGACGGATTTTCTTTAATGCAACAGTTCTGTTTGACTTTTTGTGTCTGCCTTTGTAGACAACTCCATATGTACCTGTTGAATACAAAACCAACATCTGTCAGATGTTTTTGTCCAAAGTTGATTGACAAGACTTAATAATCTTGGTATGTGTTGTGTCTTGTTCTTTTTAGAATGATGACAAACTCCACAATGTACAGTATGTACATGTTTATTCGTTTATATCTAGGCGGGAACTCATACCAAGAACAAAACATTGAATCTAACTACTATGCATCTCCAATGTCCATAATGCAGGACCTAACCAATTAATACAGGCCATCAGGTAATGGACTGGATTTCATGTATGCGTAATTATTTGAACTTGTGTATGCAAATACTTTAACATTTCGGTGCTGCATCTGGCCTGTCAAAACATGTGCATGATATAGAATTTTTTATTGAATAATAGTACAGGAAAATTTACCCTAAAAGTCCTTCAAATTATTTAGTTTATATGCTTTTACTCCTGAATTTTCGTTGGGACTCATATCTTAATTAGTCTTGGATATCTGCATAACTCTCTTGTTAAAGTTATGAATATTGACACACGTACACATGTAGGGATCTGAGTACATGTGTCATGTGTACTTGCAAAAACACCTATCACAAAACAATTTTATACCTATGAAAATGAAACGCCAAAATCATCAAAAATCTTGAACACCTGTATTTATAAACATAATCCATGTTATATATAAAAGTCATTTCATAAAAGTAACAGCCGTTCTTTATACCACATTCAGTTAACAGTATTCCAAAATGTATGTAATTGAATATCAGTCAAAGGCATTGCAAGAAAACAGGATCATTTGAGAAGTGTCTGTCTTCTACACTAATGTTGACATACCGGTAGATTAGACATGGTCAGTCAAAGAAATACCTTGATGTCACATGTACCATGTGATCGAGCATCTCATTAAATTTCTCTTTCAAGCATATTGAATACTTTGAGACCAGCTAAAAACAGGTATCGGGACATTTGAGTGGCACCATCTGGTTGGTAGTGCTATCTAGATTAAGACGTAACAGAATTCAGCAAAATCAAAATTGTGACCAAAATCCTTCAATGGTTTGTGATTTCTTATATTATGGTTAAATTTACAATTTACTGAATTTGATTCTGTACTAATCATAAGTAACAGACAACCAACTTGGCCAAATTCTCCATTTTGACAAACTATAACCAAACAGACAAAGAATCAAGTTTGTGATTTATCACTGAAAGAATTGTAAGGACTGTTAGAGCAATTTACAGCACTTACAGCAGAACAGTAGAATAAATCAAATATGCAACAACCACACCAATTAAACTGTTTCAGTTTTCCATATTAATAGCTGCCCAGTATCCAAAACAGAATGTCAGATATAACCTAAATATTTCAGGTTCAGACGAAAAGAGTTTAGTGGGCTTCTTAATATCACAAGTTTCTTAAATCAGTATATTTGTTCAGTTTTTCTACTATTCCAAAAATAAAGATCATAGGGTGTCCTCACACGTGCCTATTCTTAAAACAAAAGAAGTATAGACCAGGTGTATTTTATACCTGAGTTTCATCGTGTGTGTCAGAAGGTCTATGTGTGTGTTCCTGTGATTGGTGTGCCATGAGTTGTAAATCGCCCTGACCAGTGATGGAGGGACCGTAGGACTTACCACGGATTTTACCCTGCACCCCTTTCTATCCACCTGTAACTCTCTCTAAGATCCCGCCATCAGGACTCGTAAGAGTAAGGACATGCTCTGACTACCATCTATAAAACGTACATATGGGGTCCAACACGAGCATATCGCCCACATGGACGGTTAACCGCTCGTAGCCTGGTAAGTGTACATGTGTATACAGTTGTAGGTATACTTTTGTTTTCTGTTCCATTATAGCATGTTCTACATTTGTGTGTGACTGTTGTATGTTGTAGGTTCTTAATGTTGTAGGTTTTTGTTACACGTCATCAAAACATCTGGAAGAATTCTGGTCTGAGGTCTTCTACCTCAATCACCTCCACCTTGCAGAAAATTATTATGGAAAATTAATCACTCAGAACTTTACCGAAATACTTTAAAACTTACAACTCATTGATATCTAGGATATTGATCTGATAAAAAAGTTTACCTTTGCAAATGACCTAATTTCAATCTCACAAAAGAAATATTTGTGCTGATGAGTTTGCACTCGGGCACGACTATATATTTTTTCATCCAGACATGACTTATCTTTTTTAATTTGAACACTGATATCAATTTTGACCTACACAGTAAGTAACTAGGTTGGCTTGCACTTCTAAGACAAGGTATACAAATAGTATGACTGAATAATACTATATTTGATTTTTTTTTTCTTATCCGATCGACTTGTATTATTTTCCTACTAAAACGCACCTTCACCAATTTTCTCGATCTTGATATAATCCTCCATTGTCTGGCCCTCGATCAAAAATTGTTCCCGTTAACTTAGACGTTTCTGAAACAATACAAATTCCATGGTTTATATGATTCACTCAATATCCACAGAATGCCACAAACACATTTGCGATATCATGAAACATGCATTTGAAATAAGTATTATTTTGCTGTTGTGTTCAGAGCGGAAGTCAATCCGCTCAAGTTTGAACATGTTATAATAACGAACTACGATTCGAGGTCATCAAACTGCTAACAAAAAAACAACAGCAGACGTATTTCTTGTGTCTGTGATTTGAATAATTATCACACAGGCATATAATGAGAAGAAGTTCTCGATTGAAAGAAAAACTTTCTCAATTTCGAACTTTGAAAATTAACGAAGTCATTCACTCGGTCGCATGCCTGTGATATTACTTATGAAAATCAAAGTTTCGTGGTGTTTATTGTTTCTATAAACCATAAATACGGAATGAGGTGGCTTAATTATAAAATATCGAGATATTATACAACGAACAGATACTTTTCATAGCCCGTGAACAGATAAAAGGGTAAAAATTTAGAAACACATGTGAAATTACAAACCTTTCTCCACTTCAGAAATACCGCTGTTTCGAATCATCCAATCAAATCCAAGCTTTCAAAATGTAAATAAAATGCATTCAGAAAGCTTCGGACCTTTACATTTCACTGAGTGCGTGTATGTAAACACACAAGAAATCCGAAGAAGTGGTGTCTTGTGACAGAAACAAGCAGAGAACTGAAAGCTGTTGAAGTGACAGGTAGAACGATCATTTTACGTGAAAAAAGGTCTACTATCTTACCATATCATTAATCCTTACTCGTTAGAGGTTTCGTATTATCGTAAAAAGTGTCAATATCTATATATTCTCTATCAATGAGGATAATAAGGCTGTCAACAGAAATGGAACACCACACGTGATTCTGAATCAATGTTTATGTGTTTTATTTATTGCCAGTGGCAATTAATTGTTATAAGCTGAACATTTTGTTATTCACTACCTCATCTTATAAATTCAACAATTTAAAATGTTAGATAAGTATCAAGGCAGAAAATATGTGAGCTGATTTGTCAAATATGTACTGAACAATATATCCATAAAAAAATATTTGGATATATATTACATATATAAAATAGATCTATGCATTCGGTAAAAAGGATTGCCGTTATTATTATTTACGCCAAACCTACTCCTCTCTAGATTAATAAACAAAAAGAAAAATGGTGAAAAATATGTAGACTGTAAGAAATGTTCAACTACATAATTTAATTTTTCAGGTCAAAATGTCTGCAGGTGAACCTCCCCCTTATCAGGAAGTTACTGGTCAACAAGGTAATTAAAAGAAAACCAAAGGCAATAAAAAATGAAATTGAGACTGATATAATATTAAAACATGTATGTGAAATAATGGTTTAATATCCACTACTCTGAATTATTCAGATGTTCTATCAATATCATTGAGACAGATCAGAGAAAAATGGTAGAACATCAGAATGGAATTAATTGCCACTGATACGACAGCAATAGATTAGAGTCTTGCTATTTCACATATAAAGACTCCAGGCCCCACTTGTATAAAACATCTCAACTTGAGATTTCCTCAAGTTGAGATTTTCTTCAGCTGATATCTCCTTGAAAATATCTTGTATGAAAATTCCTGAAGGAATTTCAGGACATCCTAGCCGATGCCTTCCTCCTGTTCTTTGAGAAAATTTTATACAAGCAGTTTTTGATATCAGCTGAGGAAAATCTCGACTTGAGGAAATCTCAAGTTGAGATGTTTTATACAAGTGGAGCCAGGACCTGTACTTAAGATCAGTTTTTGATTTGATATAAAGAGTAAATGAATCAATACACAACTATTGGAAATGTATATTAAAATTTAATTGTGAAATAATCAAATTAAGCAGGGATAAATATTTCTACCCATGATAGTGTGATTGTGGGAAAGATTTTGCAAAACGATTCTCCAACAATCTCATTGTGATTGAAGGAAAAAATTTTTATTCAGTTATTTGGTGAATAACACTATTCCTAACTACAATTTTGAACTGTATACTTGTTTCTTATAGGTTATGGCACAGTACCAGGAGCAGCACCACCATACCCTCAACCAGGGAAATATCCAGGTGGCCCACAGCATCCCCAAGGAGGATATACCAACCCTGCAGGACCCCCAGCAGGGGCCTACACCGGTGCCCCCTACACCAATAATACTGGGGCACCCTATACTAACCCACAGCAGGCAGGGTACCAACAGGGATATCAAAACTACACAAGCAGTAATGTGATTGTCCAACAACAACCTGCTTCTCAAGTGGTCATTGTGGGAGGCTGTCCAGCGTGCAGGGTGAGTTAAAATACTGATCAAATTGTGGAGATCATGACAGATCAGCTCTTCAATGGGGTTGTTTGACATTGTGTTACCCAATCTTTAAGTTTTATTCCTTTTTTGTTTTAGGAATGATTTTAGCTTGTAATCTGCTTCACTTATGCATTGGTAAACATTATGTTTGTTGATTGGTACATTTTAGGTGAGTTGTCATGAACTACTTTGTCTAATCTTTCTTTCCTTACCATGCTTGTCAAGTCTCCAGTTTTGAAATGGGATTATATCAGAGTTTTTAGAATACAAACTGATCATTTCAACAAGAGGCCCAAGGGGCCTGCATCACTTACCTGACAAATTCAGCTGATCATTCATTTAACAAAGAATTTCAAAAATGACAAAATAATTTCAAAACAGATTTCCTTATCGAGTCCTGGCTTTGTGGTCAAACAGAAGTTAGGTTCACAATTTATAAAAATTGCTTCAGACCAAACATGGACAATATCCTTGTACAAAAAAGGATTTGTAAGAACTTGCATTTTCTCTATTGGACCCCATGCCTCTGATGTCAGATTCCTGGTTGATACAATATTAGGTCCCTTTCAACTAGATTTGATTCAGACCAAATAAGGGCGAAATCAAGGCATTCCTGCAAAAGAAGGATTTTAGAGAATTTCCTCTATTTCCACCTTTGAACCCACCCAGAGGGCTGTGGCCAACCATTTATAAATATTGATTCCCCTTCACCAAAGCATGCTTCAGACCAAATAAGGACAGAATCCTGATACTTCTATTTGTTTCCCTTTTACCCAATAATGCTTCAGACCAAATAAAGACAACATTCAGGAGTTCTTACAAGAGAAGGATTTAAAAAAATGCTCCATTTCCCCTATTGGGCCCAGCCTGTCCCACCCAATGGGGCCAAAACCCATCATTTTTACAAGATTTATTCCCCTTTACCAATGAATGCTCCAGACCAAATTTTGGGAAAATCCAAATCATTTCTACAGGAGAGGTAGGATTTGAAGAAGTTGCTCTTTTTTCCCAATTGGGCCCTGCCCATCAGGACCCGTGGGACAGAGGCTTCTGACCAAATTTGGGCAATATCCATTCATTCCCACAAGAGGAGTAAGATTTTAAAGAACTTGCAAAGTTTTTCTAGTTGAGCCTCTGGGGGACGACAATCAATATTTTTACAAGAAAAGATGACAAAATGTGATTTTTAGTAATAATTTGACAGACGATAGATAATGGATGCCAGAAGGGCACGAGGGACACTGCGCCATGCCATAAGTTCACAAGTCCTTGTGACTTGGTGAATTAACATTGATTATGTTCCCACCTTCAATTAAACAAGACATTGCAAGCAAATTTCTGTTCCCACCTGTAAAGCATGATGTTTAAGGTATCTATGTATTTAAACATTACTAAAGGTGCCTGTTCCTGTCTACAGGTTGGAGTGTTAGAAGAAGATTACACCTGCCTCGGTGTATTGTGTGCCATTCTGTTCTTTCCTCTTGGAGTTCTGTGTTGCCTAGCAATGAGACAAAGACGATGTCCAAGCTGTGGAGCTGTGTTCGACTGAGGTGCCCAAACATTCTAGTGGGGCTTTGATGTTCCTAGCATGTTCAACCTGAAACACTGATTAATTAAATACAATTTTGTTTGTGTCTTTTGAATTTAATTGGATTTCATTTGTGGGAAACTTGAATTTAATTTCATCTTCAATATCTGTTTCTCAGTTTTAAGAAACTTATAGTGAATTCTGACACAAAAATATTTGTCTTTTTTAGTTAATTTTTTTTTTAACTTTCGGATGCTTGACAAAATTTATTTCTTGAAAAGTTAATATTCAGAGTTGAAGACGACAGTAAATCAAATTTCAAAAAATGTTATGGATGTGTTAAATCCATTAGAAAGTATAATGGTCGAATGCTTTTTCATTTACCTCAATTTGCATCACAAAGAAAGGTATTAAAAGGTAAATTCTGATAATTTGATTTATGAAAAGCATGGCATGATATTTCTAGGAGTACTTAAGATTTATATAGCATTTTTAACTCTATAAATAAAAAAAAATGTGTGAAAAATTACCAGAAAGTTAAGATAATTTCTAAATACCAATTATTATTATTATTATCATTATTAGGTGAGGTAGCTTATAACTTTAAAGATCAGAAAGAGATTAAAACATTTAATGTTTTCTTTGTTGTATGTATGTATGTATGTATGTGTATGTATGTATGTAGGTATGTATGTATGTATATTGTTTGAATGAAAAAGAATGATGGGTATATGGCAGAATAGTTCAAATATTTGATGGGATTATTATAGAAAAAGAACATGTTAGAATTTTTTTTTAAATAATTGAGATCAGTTATTTACCTTTTTTTAAAATTAAAGTAAGATCACTGAAAAATGAAGAGATTTGATGCAAAATGGTCCTGGCATAGAAGTGCACATGTTGTGTTTGAAAAGTTACATCCTCATCCAGACCTGAAAAAACACGGGATCATAATTTTTATGCAGAGTAAAGGATAAATACACAGGTGTGTATGCTGTTCACTAAATTTTTTGCTGGGGTTGCTTTTTCATTACTTCATTAAGCTTGTTTTCTGTTGATTTCATTATTTACACATATAGTAAATTCTGTCCGGCTTATAACAGTGCAAACATGCTATGGTGAAATCAGGGCCTTGCAAACGCTTGTAAATAGCTTGATTTTCTGCAAATTTAATATCATTGTTTAAATGGTAAATTGAGGTGTACAATTCCCATAAAAACATAAGTAGATAATTTTGTACAATTTTCTGCAAAAGCATCTTTTGAAACCCTAATGCGTGCAGTATTATCCCTTTAAGGAATATCTTATTAGCATTTTATGAAGGAACTCTTAATTTTTTCTTCTTGCAGATCTGTAACTTGCTTTGCTGAAACAATAGCATCAAATAATGAAAAAAAATTTCTGGAACAGATAGTTTGAGGGATGTATAAAAAGATTATCATACGTTCCTGATAGTAGTGAAGATTATTGCCAATAGTTATGTATTAGTTTGATATGAAAATTTGAGTCTTGTATATAATGTAAACTTTGTGATCTGTGTTGAAAAAAATATAGTGGGTACCCAATAAACATGTTTTCGACGTATATGTCTGCAAAAAAAATGATTGTAAATTGAATTTTAATAGTAAAGTACACGTGTTCCTTCTAAAAACTATCAATAGTTTACTTTGCATATTGAGCTGAGGTTTTACAGAAGTTTATCAATAAGATAAATTGATGTTGAGTTTCTCTGCAGAGATTGTGTTAATTTTAATGTGAGCTTGTATTTACAGTAATAGTGCAATAAGGATGTTTTCTCTTACTAATGTATAGATTGTTTAAAATGTGTATTAAATTACTTTACATCCAATGATCACATATAAGCATGTATGGATAATTTGTGCATGAAAATATTTTATCTATTAGAATTCATAGTGATGTGTGTTTAAGGAGGTACCAATAAGGGTTTCACATCAACTATACAAGCAGACCCCCATATAAACCTATAGTTCTGACATCCAATAGTATCAGGCTGTTCATGCTTTAGAGATCTCGGAGTTCAAAAATCTAAAACTGCTGAAATTTTACTGATACTGATCATGTGCAATTTTTCAAGAAGAACATTATTTCTAAAAATAGATAACACAACTTATACCTAATCCCCGCTTACTTGTTCTTGGACATCTTTGTGTTCTAAATGACAATGCTTTGTCACCATTTTGTGGATTTGCATCATTTCCATTCTTTGATTGTAGGGTAGTACATTATTTAATTGCTTAATGTATAGTTAAAAGAGTCAGAATGATTTAAACCAACATTTACTGAATTAGGGATTTATAACCAGAGAGCAAAATGTTTTAGCTCACTTGGCCCAAAGGCAGGAGGGGCAGGGACTAATAGGGTAAAGAGAGCAACTTCTTTGAAATTCTACTTCTCCTGTAGGAATGATTAGATTTTGATCAGATTTGGTCTGGACCAATCTTTGGCAAAGATAAATCAATTTTGTATAAACAGTGGGTCTTGACCCCTCAGACTGGAAGGGAGAGGCCCTGTGGTGGAAATAGTGCAAATTCCTACTTGTAGGAATGATTGGTTTTTGTCCAAATTTGGTCTGAAGTATTCTTACATTAAGGGAAATCAATATTGTATAAATCGTGGTTCTCAGCCCCCTGTGACAGGAGGGGAAGGGCTCAATTGGGAGAATAGAGCAAATTCTTTGAAATCTTGCTCCTCCTGTAGGAATGATTGAATTTTGGCCAAATTTGGTCAAAACATTGTTTGGAAAAGAAGAATCAAGTCTACCAGGTGAGCAATATAGGCCCTATGGACCTTTTGTTTTTGGCTCAACATTTCTAGTTTGTTTAGAGCAGGATTTTGTCCGATTTTGTACTAAAGGTTGTGAAGGAAGACTAATTTATTTCTCTCAATCACTTAGATTTTGTGAATACTTTACAAATTTATCGCTTTAGACATATTCACAAATACATGATTTTACAAACAGTGGTCTAGATATGACTTAAGATTCACGAATTGGGCTTTTAGATATATGGATCCTGATATCGGCAACAGAATCAGCATGGATTTTATTAATAGTTAATTTCCGACAAATAATCGTGAGGGATTTGAATTAGGATGGGTTCTATCTAAACAGATCCCCACTTAGACCAAATAGTTGATCAGTTGTATAAGGTAGGGTCTTTGTTGAAATCATAGCATTGAGAAGTGTTTATGTATGAACAACATTGTAAAAATTTAGTGATATTACATGCAATAAATTAAGGACATCATTCTAAAATTATTTCATTAATAGTCCATAATTTACGTGCTTACTGGTATACAAGGCTAGTTTAATAAGATTATTTTCACTGATGTTTAGGAAGCACATGACCAGATAATCTGATCAGTTAGACAAGGAATCAATTTGTATGATTTAGGTCCACTCAGTTTATTTGTTAAATACAGGTATCCAGGTGTTATTGGATATCACAGACAACATCTTACGTACAGTATCAGATTATAGATTTCATTTTGTTCATCACCCACTTTAGACTGAAGCATGTTTGATATGGCAGCTGAGTATTCTGACATTTTGTGAAATTTTACTTGCAACTGTAATCCTAATTCTTATGTAATCTGCATGTACTTATGTTCTGAAACTGTTCTTTACAAAACCTTTGTTTATCTCGAGTGTCCTGTCAGACATGTTTCTCATTCCATGGAAATGATTTTCATCAAGGAATTATTGACATTCACCCCTTCGTTTTATCCACATCAAATGTAAATATAAATATGATTTTTAATTAATCACATAATCATGTTATACAGTTTAAATTTGTTGAAATAAATCTTGCCCAGAGCACCATTGTTTGCTGTACATAATTTGTTATATTGTCCATTGAACATCTTTTTTCCTCGTACATAGAAAGGGACCCAAAATTTCTGTCCCGTCACACCTGTTTGATACTTTCAATGCGAAATTTGGCAACAAGTGATGTGACAATTTCAATTGTCTTTCTATCACACAACTGCAAAGGGAGGTGAAATAAATAGAAGAACTGGGAATTGAAGCTAGTTGATATGCAATTTTGACACAATGTACGATAAAAAGAATTTATTTACCAGTATATGTACGTTCAATATCAATTCATCTGTCAAGGACCGACATTTTGCAAAAGAAAATTTGTTCAAGGTAATGCCAAGAATGAGATGTTACAGAATGTCAGCCTGAGACTGAAATCAACTTCAAACATCTACAAGTAACAGATTCTGTTAATCCCTAACATTTCTTCTGTATTTCACATGTCCATTATGGTGTTTTCAGGGGAGATATTCCACTGTAGCATTATACAGGGAGGATTCTGATAGTTAACATAGGTCCATGATGATCATTTAAATCACCAGACACTAATATACAAATGTCATAGTTTTGTGACTAATCAGCACTGATGAACTTCAACACTGACAAGTTTTATAAGTTTCTTGTTTGATAAAGTTCACTTTTTGAACTTTCAAAAATGGTTTCCTGTCATCATTTACACAGGGTATGTCACTCTCTCTCTCTCTCTCTCTCTAGGTTTTGGTGAGAAAGAAACTCCTGTTGAAAGCCCCTGATCTCTTTCTCAATGGGTTTCTCTGAGACAGGAACTCATGTTGGAAGCCACTGTTATGTCATTTGGTTGCTTTGAGGTTGAAACTTCTATTGGAAGCCCTTGTTGTCTCATTTGGTTTCTCTGAGACAGAATCTCCTGTTGTCTTTGGGTTGCCCTAAGACGGAAACATCTCTTGAGAGCCCCTGATGTGTATCTCTCAGGGTTTCTCGAGAAAGAAACTCCCACTTAGAGCCCCTGTGGTCTCTTTTGCAAAGTTGCTCTGAGATTGAAACTACAGTTTGGAGTCCCTGTTGTCTCTCTCTCTTGATTCCTCTCAGACAGAAGCTCTCATGTAGAGCACCTGTTGTCTCTGTAGTTGGGTTGCTCAGAGATGGAAACACCTGCTAGGAACCGCTGTCTCATCGTAACTTAGGAATTCTGTTAGTGCTGCCTTTATTGCCTGAAAAGTTTACTATCAGGATCAGGCTGCACAAAGGTGACCTCTTGTACGGTGACATCAGTGTCCCTCCAACAGCTACCTTGACAACTGTACACAATTACTGTACCAAACTCAATCACCAGATCTGTAAAGGCAGGTAAATATCACTTGGTTAGAAACATTGGGAAAATACAAGGAAAATGAAGTTTTATCATCGATACCACCATGTCGCCTTTAATGCATTTAATCTATTTCAAGCTTGATATGAATAAGACACAACCAAATTAAATACCATTAAGCAAAATTTTCCACCTTTCAGTACTTGCTTCACTTCGTCAATTAGACCCGAGGGGGCCAAGGATTCTGAGGTCCTGGGAGGCTGGGACACATCATTTATACAAAATGTGTTTCCTATTCCCCTGAAAATACTTGTGACCAAATTTGGTCGAAATCTGCTCAGTCGTTCACGACTGGTGGCAATTTTAATTAACAAGAGATCTCAGAGGGATCTTGGCACCTACCATTGTTTGATCTTTATATTCTTTAAAAGTTGGGTCTTTTCTCTTCTTTCCTGTGTTTTTGCTCTTACTGATAAAAATTTGAATATTCCTCTCCAGAAATAATCTTTAACTGCCAAATCCATGATGGTCATTTGTCAGCCATTTTGTTTTTCTGGTCAGTCTCAAAATCAAACAGGCACAACAAGGGACTAAGGGGAACCTACATATGAAATTTGAGAGAGATCCATTTGGTACTTCTCAAGAAATTGTGATAACAAACTTATTTGTAAAGATACAGCCATTTTGTTCTTCTTCAGATCCCATATCAAACTGACACAACTAGGAACCAACACAAACCCTCTTTTGAAATTTGAGAAAGATCTATCCAATACTTCTCAAGAAATAACAATAACAAAAACTGTTTACAAATGGACAGATGAACTGACAGACCACACAAAAGAGCAATTTGAATACCCCAACATCTGTGGATAGTGGGCTAAAAATTTGACAGATGACAAACACCACACTATGGTATAAGCTGCATGGTCGTTTGGACCAGGTGAACTAAAAATATTCCTGTTGTCAATCATTTACCTTATCAGATATTGTATTACTTACTGTTGACAATGTTGGTAGGGTTTAGCAGGTATGGTATAGACAATTGCACCCACGGTTCTTCATCAGAATTAGTTAATGATATTTAACAAGAGTCCCAAGGGCCTTAATGGTAATCAGTTATAATTCTGTAAATGTTCCTTGTAGCATGTCAGAGAAATTATCTTGACAAAGTAAAATAACTTGAACTATATATAGTACACATAATGCCAATGTAAAATGTGCAAACTATTCTAACCATGTTTGAGTTAAGAAATCAACAAAATACATGACTCTTCACCTGATATGTCTCCCTCCCTTCATTCAACATAATACACAACTCTTCACCTGATATGTTTCCCTTCATTCAACATAACACATGACACTTCACCTGACATGTCTCCCTTCATTCATTCAACATAATACATGACTCTTCACCTGACATGTCTCCCTCCCTTCATTCAACATAATACATGACTCTTCACCTGACATGTCTCCCTCCCTTCATTCAACATAATACATGACTCTTCACCTGACATGTCTCCCTCCCTTCATTCAACATAATACATGACTCTTCACCTGATATGTCTCCCTCCCTTCATTCAACATAATACACGACTCTTCACCTGATATGTCTCCCTTCATTCAACATAATACATGACTCTTCACCTGACATGTCTCCCTCCCTTCATTCAACATAACACATGACTCTTCACCTGATATGTCTCCCTCCCTTCATTCAACATAACACATGACTCTTCACCTGATATGTCTCCCTTCATTCAACATAACACATGACTCTTCACCTGACATGTCTCCCTCCCTTCATTCAACATAATACATGACTCTTCACCTGACATGTCTCCCTCCCTTCATTCAACATAATACACCTGATATGACTCTTCATCATTCCATAATACATGACTCTTCACCTGATATGTCTCCCTCCCTTCATTCAACATAATACATGACTCTTCACCTGATATGTCTCCCTTCATTCAACATTCACATGACTCTTCACCTGACATGTCTCCTCCCTTCATTCAACATCACCTGACATGTCTCCCTCCCTTCATTCAACATAATACATGACTCTTCACCTGACATGTCTCCCTCCCTTCATTCAACATAATACATGACTCTTCACCTGACATGTCTCCCTCCCTTCATTCAACATAACACATGACTCTTCACCTGACGTGTCTCCCTCCCTTCATTCAACATAATACATGACTCTTCACCTGACATGTCTCCCTCCCTTCATTCAACATAATACATGACTCTTCACCTGACATGTCTCCCTCCCTTCATTCAACATAACACATGACTCTTCACCTGATATGTCTCCCTTCATTCATTCAACATAACACACGACTCTTCACCTGATATGTCTCCCTCCCTTCATTCAACATAACACATGACTCTTCACCTGATATGTCTCCCTCCCTTCATTCAACATAATACATGACTCTTCACCTGATATGTCTCCCTCCCTTCATTCAACATAATACATGACTCTTCACCTGATATGTCTCCCTCCCTTCATTCAACATAATACACGACTCTTCACCTGATATGTCTCCCTTCATTCAACATAACACATGACTCTTCACCTGATATGTCTCCCTTCATTCAACATAACACACGACTCTTCACCTGACATGTCTCCCTCCCTTCATTCAACATAATACACGACTCTTCACCTGACGTGTCTCCCTCCCTTCATTCAACATAATACATGACTCTTCACCTGACATGTCTCCCTCCCTTCATTCAACATAATACACGACTCTTCACCTGACATGTCTCCCTCCCTTCATTCAACATAATACACGACTCTTCACCTGATATGTCTCCCTCCCTTCATTCAACAAAATACAGGACTCTTCACCTGACATGTCTCCCTCCCTTCATTCAACATAATACATGACTCTTCACCTGACATGTCTCCATCCCTTCATTCAACATAACACATGACTCTTCACCATGTCTCCCTCCCTTCATTCAACATAATACATGACTCTTCACCTGATATGTCTCCCTCCCTTCATTCAACATAATACATGACTCTTCACCTGATATGTCTCCCTCCCTTCATTCAACATAATACATGACTCTTCACCTGATATGTCTCCCTCCCTTCATTCAACATAATACATGACTTCATTCAACACTCTTCACCTGATATGTCTCCCTCCCTTCATTCAACATAATACTCTTCACCTGATATGTCTCCTCCCATTCAACATTCATTCAACATAACACATCTCCCTCCCTTCATTCAACATAATACATGACTCTTCACCTGATATGTCTCCCTCCCTTCATTCAACATAATACATGACTCTTCACCTGATATGTCTCCCTCCCTTCATTCAACATAATACATGACTCTTCACCTGATATGTCTCCCTCCCTTCATTCAACATAATACACGACTCTTAACCTGACGTGTCTCCCTCCCTTCATTCAACATAACACATGACTCTTCACCTGATATGTCTCCCTCCCTTCATTCAACATAATACATGACTCTTCACCTGATATGTCTCCCTCCCTTCATTCAACATAATACACGACTCTTCACCTGATATGTCTCCCTCCCTTCATTCAACATAATACACGACTCTTCACCTGATATGTCTCCCTCCCTTCATTCAACATAATACATGACTCTTCACCTGATATGTCTCCCTCCCTTCATTCAACATAATACATGACTCTTCACCTGACATGTCTCCCTCCCTTCATTCAACATAATACATGACTCTTCACCTGACATGTCTCCCTCCCTTCATTCAACATAATACACAACTCTTCACCTGATTTGTCTCCCTCCCTTCATTCAACATAATACATGACTCTTCACCTGACATGTCTCCCTCCCTTCATTCAACATAATACAGGACTCTTCACCTGACGTGTCTCCCTCATTCATTCAACATAATACATGACTCTTCACCTGATATGTCTCCCTCCCTTCATTCAACATAATACATGACTCTTCACCTGACATGTCTCCCTCCCTTCATTCAACATAATACATGACTCTTCACAACATAATGACATGTCTTCACCTGACGTGTCTCCCCATTCATTCAACATTACATTCAACATTCAACATAATACACGACTCTTCACCTGATATGTCTCCCTCCCTTCATTCAACATAACACATGACTCTTCACCTGATATGTCTCCCTCCCTTCATTCAACATAACACATGACTCTTCACCTGACGTGTCTCCCTCCCTTCATTCAACATAATACACGACTCTTCACCTGATATGTCTCCCTCCCTTCATTCAACATAATACATGACTCTTCACCTGATATGTCTCCCTCCCTTCATTCAACATCAACAGTCTCCCTCCCTTCATTCAACATAATACACGACTCTTCACCTGACGTGTCTCCCTCCCTTCATTCAACAAAATACATGACTCTTCACCTGACATGTCTCCCTCCCTTCATTCAACATAATACATGACTCTTCACCTGACGTGTCTCCCTCCCTTCATTCAACTGACTCTTCACCTGACATGTCTCCCTCCCTTCATTCAACATAATACACGACTCTTCACCTGACGTGTCTCCCTCCCTTCATTCAACATAATACAAGACTCTTCACCTGATTTGTCTCCCTTCATTCATTCAACATAATACTCGACCCTTCACCTGATTTGTCGTGGACGTGGAGAAAATTGATCAATGCTGGAAGTAGTTGTAATTCATAAACAGCTAAACTGCCACACTGACCACACACTAGCGTTCTGGCCATTTTGGGGTCAGGCCGAGAAATGTACCATGGATTTCCATTCCAATGATACCTGTAAATACATGTAAAAATGCCTAGAGAGATACCAGATCATTTCATAGAAATCTTACAGCATATTTAATGACTGTCTATTTCAAAGGCTTTATCATTAGTATATAAAATCTTATTCTACGTCTTACAGACAGACAGTTCATGATATTGTTAAAAATTCCCCAGAAAACAAACAGAAGAGGTGTCTTCTCATATCCAACCTAATATTAGGAGAATGGTCTACCCTTATAAAAACAAAAATTTATCTTTACAAATTTATACAAAAGTGAAATGCATATATACGAGTGTTAATACTTTTCTATCTTGTACACATCATCATATACCTAAAGTTGTTGTTAAGTCTCAAACACAAAGGACAGAGGTGGAACCAACCCTAGCCATACTACATCGCTTCCACATAAAATAGACTAACATTCACAGTTTATATTATCGCGCGTTGGACAACCCTCCTGTCCATACGAGAAAAAATATGGGAAAATAGATAGCTTAAAATGTACTTCTGACTTACCGTACACAAAGCTGAGGACAAACTGCTATTCTCTTGGTAAACTTGTAAAAATATTTGTCACCGTGGGCTACTTGATCCTCTTCATATGCTTCAGCACCTCCTTTGAACCTTTAAATAAATCAAGAGTGTAGACCAACAATTATTATAACTTCATTGACTAATAAAAGCTCATAACAAATAAACCAATACATATTTTATCAAATTATACAAAAAAGCTCCAATGTAAAGAGAACTTGACTGAGGACATAGAGAGAGTAGATGCACTAGGACATTTTTTCTTCTTTTCAAATTACACATTTTAGACTGGTGACCACAGAGGATCAGTCATGTAGAAGGCATACAAAATATTCATTTCATCCAAAAGTGAGAATACTTTTATAAGGTTCATATATTTTTTTCTCTGATTAAAGAAGATGCTGAATGAAGACATTGTTTCCACTACCTACCCCTTCTTACTTTCAGGTAAAGGTTCGACGATGCCACCTTCATATTGTTTTCACTACCTACCCCTTCTTACTTTCAGGTAAAGGTTCGACGATGCCACCTTCATGTTGTTTTCACTACCTACCCCTTCTTACTTTCAGGTAAAGGTTCGACGATGCCACCTTCATTTTGTTTTCACTACCTACCCCTTCTTACTTTCAGGTAAAGGTTCGACGATGCCACCTTCATATTGTTCTCATTACATACCCCGTCTTACTTTCAGGTAAAGGTTCGACGATGCCACCTCCATATTGTTTTCACTACCTACCCCTTCTTACTTTCAGGTAAAGGTTCGACGATGCCACCTTCATATTGTTTTCACTACCTACCCCTTCTTACTTTCAGGTAAAGGTTCGACGATGCCACCTTCATATTGTTCTCACTACCTACCCCTTCTTACTTTCAGGTAAAGGTTCGAAGATGCCACCTTCATTTTGTTTTCACTACCTACCCCTTCTTACTTTCAGGTAAAGGTTCGACGATGCCACCTTCATATTGTTTTCACTACCTACCCCTTCTTACTTTCAGGTAAAGGTTCGACGATGCCACCTTCACATTGTTTCCACTACCTACCCCTTCTTACTTTCAGGTAAAGGTTCGACGATGCCACCTTCATTTTGTTCATAGTTACGGAGTAGTTCTTGTATATGACCGTTGTTCTCTTCCACTGTTTCATGTTCATTAAAGACACTGATGTAAAAGGATTCAAAAACAAGTCCTTCGTTCCTATGGAAACACTCCGCAGAGTTGCTTTGACCTTGAACTTGGGTGTTTTGACCTTCACTTTTCCTCACAAGTAAGTTCATCATTTCTTCCACACCTTGTTCAGTTACTTTCAAAGCAATGCTGTCTGTGTCCATGATAATATTGGAATCAGTTTTTTCAGAATAACAGCTTTCATCAAAATCACAAACATTAAGCTGTGCCATTTCTCCCAGGAGATCATTCCCTCCTTCTGTCAGTAATACCTCAGTCTTATCTTGACTATCACTGGAATGACATGACATTTTGGATAAATTTTCATCATCTCCTGCTCCAGGCCCTACCAAAGCATCTCTAAAACTTGTCCCAAGGTCATGACCTTTATCAGCACCTGACCTCTCAACTCTGACCTCAGTCTCATTGGATGTGTTTCCTGTCATGACGTCAGCATTCTCTGACCACGAATCATCCATCCCAGTTTCCAAGTCTTCTGCATCATCCCCCCAGTCATCAGCAGCTACGCCCCAATCATCAAATGCAGCACTCTGCTTTACTTTCTCTGGCTTTTCAGTCTTTGTAATAAAACTATCATCCAACTTCTGAGATCTCAGAACTGTCCAACTAAAATTATAAATTCAACTCAAAGGATATGTGTCAACAACTCAGAATATTAGGTTCCTCCTGCAATGTATCAAATTTCAGGCCCCCTCCAAGATATTCCCTGATTTCACTCTAAGATGCAGTAATATGTAACAAGAGGGCCATGGGCCTTAACAGTCTCCTGACGTTCCCTCATAGTTATTAAGGAGAATTTGTTTAAATAATTTTTCAGGTATTTGACACCTATGACTTTGAAATAAGGTCAAGGTCATTAATTTGAACAGAGTTGGTAGACATATATTCCAGCATGATGCAGAACAAATATCAAGTACTTGGTTGGACCTCTTGGTTATTGAGGAGAAGTCATTACAAGATTTTAACACATTTGACCCTTGAGACCTTGAAAGTAGGTCAAGGTCATTCATTTGAACTTGGTAGCACTTCATCCCAGTAGTTACGGACCAAATACCATGACTCTGGTCCCTTTAGTTATTGAAAAGAAGTCGAAAATGTAAATTGTTTACCATGCACAATGCCAGACAAATGGTGATCGCAATAGACTTTGTCTCAGGTAACCTAAAAATTCGGAAAATAATGAGAGAAATAACCTTAGACTATGTGATGCAGTCAATAGCAATTTTACTTAAAACAAATATTGATTCCCTGCACTAGTACAAATGGGCCCAGAGGACAAATAAAACCTACCTGTCTTGTTTTCCCCAACAGACATTGTTGTGACAGGAAAAGAGATAAAGTGTTCTATGGTATGGAGAGCAATCTAAAGGACAGTACAGCTGAGCAGCAAGGGACATAACTCTACTACAGCTTCGACATGTTGGTATTTGACTTCCTGGAATAATCCAATCCTGTAAGAAGACAAAAAGAAACTTCAATCCAAATTAATGCCTTGTTCCTCACTCCAGAATTTCTGCTTTCTAATTCATGTCTCATAAAAGATTAAGTCAATTCATTCAAGGATGTCATCAAAATATTTTCATCAATGTAATAAAGGTAGTAACATCAAGAAAGCAATTATAAATTTGTATCAAATCAAAAGTACAAATGGTTATTAATCGCAACAAGCTCGTGGATAAGTTAATTTTTCATTACTGGTATGTCAACTGGTGTTGCCCCCACAGCGTTTATCACACATATCTAAAACACCATTAATAACAATGTTGTCCTGCAGGCCATATTAATTATAAGAGAATACAACCTCTTTACACGATAAATTGTCCTTTAAAAGTTTGTAGAACTGAGTTTCTGCCAGTCATTTCTGTATATTGTTTATATAAAGCATGTAATGTCTCACTGATTGGTAAATTCATCAATGATGAAAAGTGATAATAATTTCAAATCTGGTTGCTCTAAATTAAGTATAAGTGCAGCATCATTGAACAATCACTGGTGTCACTATAACATGTGACAAGACAAAATTCCTTTCAGAAATAAAATATCAGTCCAATGTATAGATTTCTGTCCATCAAAATGTCTGTCATTCATGTCTAAACCTTGGAAACTAGAGCAAAACAATTGTATGTATGGGAGTCTGGTAAATACTAGCTGCAATATACCGCTCAGCTAGAAAGAACTCCTAATTAGCTTGACTGGTTCAACATCAGACAAGTCAGGCACAGATTTCTGGGTTCAAATTCTAGTGGAGGCATTGAAATAAATGATAATCATTGTTATATATATTATTTTAAGAACAATGTTCATTGTTTCTAGATGACCTGAATAAATTGACCTGGTTATAGCCCATCATCAGTCAAGTGGAATAATGTTGTTATCTAATACAGCGACATATACTGGCATTATATAAATACAGTATGCACCAGGTATCATTTATGTTATCATACTTTTTTTATGAAATACTTAACACATGTGTGCTCTTAATAACGGGAAGTAAATTTGATCCATTGATATTTGTGTTGTATTTTACAATCAAAATTATTGCACAAACAGCCACGATGATTTACTGCTGTTTGAAAGGGAGATAACTTCATAACACAGTTAAAAAGTTTCAGGCATTCCCCTCTGTTCACATGAGGACCTTCACTATGATCTATCTACCAAGCTTTCACTGCCATCTTTCAGGCTACAAAATCAGGTAAGTGCATTTGAAAGATGGGGTGCTACATTGACTTTCTCTGCTTGACAGAAAATTGGAGGCATCCTGCCACAGGATGGATAAAATTTTCAGGGTTGCAGAAGACAGCTCCTAATATTTTCAACTGACAGCCAATTCAGTGAAGTTGTTGGCACTGATGTGAATCAAAGCATCTTAAGAAAGTTTATAGTACATTTTGGTCTTGTCCATATAGAACTGATTGTAGAGGGCCCTCGTCAATGGTAGTGGTTCCTCTTCCATCTCCTCTGCTAGCCCCTCTGTCTGAGGCAAACATCAGTCTCAGACCTAGTCTCAATCTCAACCCTGATCTGATCTCAGGGGAGGGACTTCTAGACATCATAACCTTTGCGACTGTTTGTACTGTCTCGACGACGGTTATGTTCCCACATGTTCACATCATATTGCAACATTTTGCATTTGACAGACGAGGTTGTTAACAGCGATGTTTTATATTTCTTATATTTTGTTTCACGGTTTCAGACACCACTTTCTTAACACTTACTGGGAGTCCTCCAATTTTGTTTGTAGTGAAATCAGTTGTCCTACCGGCGACTTTTTCGTCTGGAATACCAAGTAGAGATGACATTTTCCCCCACGTGAGTTTTTGAGCACGACTAATATTATCCAATCAGAACATAGTATATATTCTTATCTTTTAATTTGACCAATCACTGATATCTTTGTATTCATTTCGGAAATTTTCTATTTACTTCCGCAAGGTGCACGTTTAGGGGAGTTAGACACTACTTGGACTGTTTTTGATAAAATGTAGATAAAAAAGGAACTGTTTTAAGCTATGAGCGGGTCTAACGGTAACACGGACCCCGTGATCTTGGCCACTGCTGGATATGATCATACGATCAGGTTCTGGCAGGCCCACAGTGGAATATGTTACCGAACTGTGCAGCATCCCGACTCTGTATCCTTCATTTAGTCCGGTCTACCTAATGAGAGTTGTTTATTATAATTTTAGTGATTGATTTAGCTTGTCGACTGTTTTCAGTTCTTGTTTGAATAATTATGCTTGAAACAAATCATATCGTTTCGGTAAATGATTATTTTTTTTTTATTTTAAGATAGCTGCTTCCCATATCAGTACTGGTATTAACATAATTAAAAGTTGTAATATGCAGAATTATAAACTTAACATTTTGCAGCAAGTCAATGCATTGGAAATAACACCAGACAAACAACTGATAGCTGCAGCAGGTATTATGAACTTCATTTAAAATCATAAGATTTAAGATCTTATTTTTACTGACGATTAAGATCCAGTTACGAGTGGTTTACAATAGTAAAAACGGAAACTATTTATACTTGGAGAGCATTGAACAATGTGCTTGTGCTCAGCTGATATGAAATATCCATGTTAATTACAATTACTGTCAATTGTTATTCATGATGCATTTATAGCTGAATTTAAATAGGTCAGTCATGTAATAAATCTAGTTTTTAGTCATTTAATACAATATATTTGTGTGACTTAAAAAAGCTTTACTTATGTATTTTTCTGTTGTAGGTTATCAACATATACGTATGTATGATCTTAACTCAAACAATCCTAATCCAGTCATTAACTATGAGGGAATTTCCAAAAACATTACTGGTGTTGGATTTCAGGAGGAGGGGAAATGGATGTACACTGGTGGTGAAGATAACAACGTCCGTATCTGGGACCTTAGGTAATCAAAATATCACTCGGATAAATTGAGATCATGTAGCTTTCAACCATCATGGTCATTTTGGGGAATTATAACTAACAGTTTCAATTTGCAGAGTGTCCTATTCAGACCAGTAAACGAAGGGTTATGGGTTTGATCCTGAAGGGAAGAAACTGAAAAAGGAGAATTTCTCTTTCTCATTGTAAATAAACTGTTGATTTCTAAATGGTTTTTAGTCTGTAGTAAACCATTTTTTTGATAGACATCAATATTAAAACATCAATATATCTTAAAATAAAATTTCAAGTCGCGTTCAAGTCACATCTTGGCTAAAATGTTCTGACTCTTCAAAATGTCGCTAAAAGGCAAAGTGGCATACCATATACGGGGTGGTCGTAATACTGAAGCGACCAATACAAAGATATATAGTGGAAAAAAATGGGACTGAAAAAAAGTGCCCGTAATAGCGGGGCGGTCGTAATTTTGAGGTGGTCGTTAGGCGAGGTTTCACTGTATAGTAATTGAAGCAACAAGTCTGAAAGAAATGGGTCTGTAGGATAAAATGCTCATCATTTTCCCTCAAAATAAAAGCAGTATTTAAATGCAATTTGAACTCAAAATAATGACACAAATATTGGCCAATAAAAAAATACTAGGAAAAATGCATCCATTAAAAAAATCAGGAAGCTTACAATGGTATGGCAGAGTAGTAATCGTCAAACCATTGAAATGCTTACATAAATGATACATTGCAGTTTAATTAGGAACTGGGAATGATGTTATTGATGTGGAACTAAGGCTTTAGAGAAATTACTTTGTGCAATATATTTTGTTCAGATCCAGAAATCAACAATGCCAAAGACTTTTTCAAGTGAATGCTCCAATCAATTGTGTCTGTCTACACCCAAACCAGGTATGGATAAGTAGTCTATTATCGTTAAAGGGAGGTAAATTATTTAAAATCTAAACATTAAACATTTGAAAAATATATCATGTTATATTACATTAAAAGTAAAGAATGTGCTATTCTTCAGCAATTACCAGTATATTATCATCAACATTTTTATCCGGTATTTTCTGAATATCGAGAGATCAACATTTTTGATACTATTTTTAGTCCTATATGTATTCACTTAGATGATGTTGGTGAAATATTTCAAAAATTATTTTCTCAACACATCAGCTTACTGATTTTTTGAAATACCAGCTGAATGAACTAGGATAATTTACATCAAGTGTGATAATAAGACACTGTGGCAAGTGACAAAGCCTCTTGTTAGTCGACCAGGTCCTAAGGATGGAAGATGCTATATCATGGCTACATATGCTTACTGATTTTACTTTCTTTTAAGGGAGAACTTTTTATTGGAGATCAGAGTGGTTCCATCCATATATGGGATTTAAAGACTAACAATAATGAACAGCTGGTAAGTAGTTCTGTTTGTTCTGTGTAACTTTTTCATTTTCTTTTCTTTTTTTAAGTCACCTGAAACAAAGTCTCGTGTTACTTTCTTGATTGTTCTTTCTCTGCTGTTGTTTGTTCATTGTAAAACAATGTTGTTTTTCTTGGATTCTGATGCATGTGATTAATATATATAGATGTAATTGAAAGAAGTAACAAAAAACACAGTTCCTAGCTGCTAGGGTTTGAATTGGGGCTATAGCTTGAATTGTTCATTGTGGTTCTCACCTCCACCAATACTGATGATTCTGGTGAGGCTATAGTGACCCTTTCGTCTAGAAAGGTGACCTTTGAGTACCTTCAATTTCTACGACACCCAGTATCAGTAGGACTCAGCAGTATAAAACCTACACTTTGTATTTTAGAACTAATTGTGTGTGGTGCTCAAACAAAGCTATGAACTGATGGAATGTTACTGGGCAATATTGTGTAATTCAGGTATTTTAAAAGCATCAGATAAACAAGCAATAATAACTGATCATTGATGTTGAACACATGAAAATATTCAACAGATCTATGAGAGGTAACTACTTCAAACCTTCAGCGGCCTTTAACTGGGCACTACACTGCCAAAGGTGCAGATTTCAGAGTGTCACTTGACTGGACAGTTGTTGCCCCTTAGATATGACGATTGTATCTATATATCTTCAACCTTCTTGTATATATATATCAGTGTGACCAATTACTATAAATCATATGCCATGTCATACTGATATACCTTTATTTTATTACACATCACACACTTTGATTTTGAGTTATTTTCTAAAAAAAAAAATTTGCAGGTATACTTTCAATGATCAAAGATGAACAGAAATTGTCAATCATCTAATGTATGGTCCCAATTCTGGGGGTCCTGAGGTTTCAAATTGGACTTAAAAGTGTATATGCATATTTTAACCCTAAACTACCATTAGGGCCTGTCAATGAGGCCCAAATGATGGAAATTTTTAGCCCAGAATCTCAAGAAAAATTCTTGTTAGAAATGACTTTGAAATGGTCTCAAATGCTCAATCCAACTAATTATGAATTTCACCACTTGTCATCTATTGGTGTCCACTGGGAAAGGGATACAACTTACTACAGATTCATACTCTTCTTAATGTTTTGTTAAATGAAGTTGGTGGAGGATATTGATGTTAATGAATACCACAAAGTTTAACAGTAAAGGATGTGTTGTGGAGTATGCATTTCAGATACTGAATGTGCTTTAGCTTAGTTGTTGATACCTGTCTTATGTCTTGATTGCTGTCCTGTTTCAACGAAATAGCCACCATTGCATAGCCTCTTAGCGGTTGAAATTTAGATATTCTCCAATATCAATCATTTTTGTATCAAGCTGAATTTTTACACTATGACCACAATCAAAACTCTTATTTGCAACATCAATGACAGCAGGGGTTCTTTAGTGGATAAAATTACAGCCTGTTGTTATTTACAGATACCTGAACCGGATGCCTCAATCCACTCAATCAGTATTGACCCCATGGGAACTATGATGGCTGCTGTAAATAACAAGGTGAGGACAATATACAAGGTCTTTTTACGGTCCCTTTCTTTCTTTGGGGGAGGAAGGGTTGTCTTTTTTTCTTCATAACATGCAGAAAACATTACTACTTCACAATTAATAGAAATGTGCCTTGTTTGGAAGACTCATGGCAAGTTCATCAAAATTGCTTTATAGCAGATCTACATTAACTACAACAATATAAAAATGTTCAAATAAATGAACAGGAGGTAATCTGGATTAACTTTTCCATGGATGACAGGCAGGAGTCAGAAATCTTTTATGATCTTAGGAGGGAGAGCATATATTTGGTTCTCTCTCTCTCTCTCTTCGTTTTTCTGTCTGTCATTATTTTGTCAGAAGCATAACACAAAAACTATTTGAGGTATCAACATAAAACTTCATATGTAGATAGATCACAACAGGAAAAAGTGCAATGCATAAGAGCCATCACTCTCTTTACAATTTAGGAAGGAGTTTTTTTTTTTTTTGCATAATTTACTAGTTATTGCCCTTTGTTATTTTTCATACATAAATTTTATCCAGAGCATTATGCTTAACCTATAAGAGGTATCAACATGAAACTTCATAGGTGGATCAATCTCAACAAGGAGAAGTGCTGAACATAAGAACCATTATTGGTTTTTGCATTGTTTAGGAGTTATTGCCCTTTGTTATTTTTCATACTTAAATTTTGTCCAGAGCATTATGCTTTAACTATAAGAGGTATCAACATGAAACTTCATAGGTGGATTGATATCAACAAGGAGAAGTGCATTGTACAAGAACCATAACTCTCTTTTACATAATATAGGAGTCATTGCCCATTGTTATTTTTCATACTGGCCCATTCTGGGAACATAACCCATCTCTGACAGCCCTTGTCTAAAATGTTTTCCTGCACTACAAGTTCTAGTTTTACTTTCTTCAGTGCAGGTGTTATATTTGGACACTGACAGGAGGGAGGGGCACAGATCGCACCCAGCTCCACCCAAAGACCAAATTCGAAGCTCACAATCGATACGCACTAAAGTGTTTGTTCAGCCCAGATTCTACGTAAGTAAAGGGTGATTGTTGGTAATTTAAAAGAATAGCAGTGTATTATCAAGTAGTAAATTGCAATGTAAGCACTTGAGTTTAAACTCATCTGCACTTCTAATTCTTCTGTTGAATAAATGCACTAAACAAACGTATACAAGGCAGGTTCAGTTGATGTTTTACAATCCATTAAGGAAATGAAGAGTCATTCAGTTCCACAATTAATTTTCAGATATTGATTTGATAAAAGTAAAGAGAATTTGTTTACAGAGTTTGCTCATCACACCAACACATATGTTTCAAATTTCAGGTTACTAGCTACCACATCAGCTGATCACACAGCAAAGATCTGGCGAACAGCGGACCGTACATTGATGACTGAGCTCAGGGACAACACACAGCGATGGGTTTGGGATTGTGCCTTTAGTGGCGACTCCCAGTACATTATAACAGGTAACCCAGATCATAACTTGATACATTGTTATAAAAATCTTACTTTGCAATATTACAGGGTTTTGGCCATGATTTTGGTTTTTGTTAAGTACTTTTACATTATAATTAAAATAGCTATACTACCCAGATTGCATAGCCTGTTAAACATGAGTGAGGAATTTTATTTGTGACTGGTCTTGTAGTACATGTGACATCAATGTGTTACTTCAACTGATCATGTCTAGTATATAACCAGTGGTGTAGAAGGCAGACACTTCTCATATGATTCTGTATTATCACGATACCCTTGAATGAAAGCAAAATTTTCTACTTCAACTAAACACTGTATATCATTATACGTAAACTTTAGCAAGCAAAACTTATCAAATAAAATTATATTAGATTAGAGGAAAAATCCATATTGAAAGATTGTAAGTTGGTGATATTAGTTATACAAGTTTGTACATCTTCAAATATATGATCATATTGAGAACAGCTATTACAAAACTGTTACCAAATAACTTTTTGATATATAATGAGGAATGTGATTATACAGGTGTTCAAGACAATTCATGATACTGGCTCATCAATTTCAGAGGTATAAAATTATTTTGTGACAGGGATAATTATGGACGTAGACATGATGTGTACTCAGTTTCATATGTGTCAACAATCGTAACATAAACAAGGGAATGCGGATATTCAGGACTAATTGATAAAAAATATGAATCCCAGTGACAGTTCAGCAGTAAAAGGTTTTTAACTAAATGCCTGAAGGTTTTTGAGCATTTCCCAATGCAAATGTCAATATCGCGTACATGCTTTCACTGCCCATATGCATTACAGAAATTTTTGATAGTATTGCATACACAAGTCCAGATTTTTTCATGAACATAAAAGAATTTTTGATACATAATTTACAATTATGAAATTATCCCTGAGGCAGGGTGAAATAGCTGATTTATGTGTAAAGTTGTACGCGGTGTGTACACAAGTGCGGCAAGCTGTTGTACACGTCAAAACAGTGGTTCCAGAACATGTTCCATTTTGTTGTACATTTTGATTAAAACAGATTCATAAAAGAAGCAAAAAAATCTTTAATACCTGTAGTTAATTACATACACAAATGTGGAAACAAAATCAGGCATATAACAACATCTGTTTAATTTCGACTGATTTATATTATAAATTGCACAAAGACAATTGTAAAGACAAGTCCTTGTCATAATGCATTATAAATTTAGTTGTATAAACAAAAAGATCAGATACTGCCTTACAATAATATTAAACTTGTTTTAAACTGTAAATATCATCTCTTTTGTCTCAAATTAAGAATTTCCGGTTTAGCACATGTCTGTAATCTGTGCGTGCAGACTAGAAGTGGGGATATTTCTGTCCGATGGGGTACACCCGTGCTGTTTCCTAAAATTTAAACATTGCATTTGCACAAAATATAACTGGACAGCTGTGATGCACTTTTGTTGTGGAATAATGTAGAATTGAATTTTTATTTATAATTCTATTCATCATTCAACTTACTTATATTTTCAAAATATATTCTCTCTCTCCAGCATCTTCAGACAACACTGCTCGACTTTGGAGTGTAGACACCGGCGAGGTCAAGAAAGAGTACAATGGCCATCAAAAGGCTGTTGTTGCCATGGCATTCAGGGATGAAATTGTTGTTCATTGAAGAAAAAATGTACACATGACTCAAATTGGCTGTGGAATATTATTCCAAAAATGAAATACACGATATATGTACCACCGTACTATGTATGCTGCCATTCTTCAGTGAGAAACATTTATTACGTGATGAGTGTAGCATAGAAGAAATTTCATTTGTCAAAACAGCCTGTTCATGTTTTTGATAGCAAGATTACTGTGTTTGTGATGTCGCACACAACACAATTATTCTGACATATTCTCAGCACACTTTGTGAAGTAGTAAGTAAATATAACGATTGCATCTTGTTTGTCCAGACATATATGCACAATTGCTATATATTGTATTGATCAGGAATTCCCACACAATCTTAGGCGAAGCAGCATTTAATGATGGAAGAGGAAAGTGTTATGCACTTTTAATAGTAAAATTTAATAAATTGAAATGCATTTTTAATAGTAAAATTTAATAAATTGAAATGCATTTTTAATAGTAAAATTTAATAAATTGAAATACATGTATATATGGTTCAAGAAAGGAGAAGTAAATGTATGAAAGAAAAATTGCCAATTTTTGTGTTTTAATACTTAATAGTTTTGTACTGAAACTTGAGAGTAAGTATTCCAAAAAACTTATCTCATTTTTTAAGAATTTTCTACTTTCAAACATTGAATTCTAGTGAAAAATTGTACTGAAATTAACATTTAATGTCATGTGGTGGATCAAATACATAATGGCTACCTACTGCTATACAGAGTAATCATCTCGAGCCACAAGATGGCACCATGCGTGGGTAGTTGTTACCTATGGCTATCCTTGTGTGTAATATATCTGTACATCAGGACCTAAAATGCTGATGCTATCTAGCCTTAAGTAAAAAGTGATAAGATAAAAGCAGTTTATTTAATTTAGATAATATAATCTTCCATTTTTTTTTTCATTTATTTTATTTTTAAATCTTTTTGACATAAATTAAACACTCACACCACACAGAGAGAGATGTGGGTTAGAGTTGTATGAGAGCAGACCAAAAATGAAAAAAGACTTCACGGTCAAGTTGATGATTAATGAACTAAAAAATCAATATCTCATTCCATTTACATAATTCATAATTGGACCTTTGCAAAACCCAAAAACTTTTCCCATTTTCTCCAATCATTATCAATTCTCAATTTTATTTCCAAGATGGTGTTTCTTATCAACTGTAAATATTACTTTCCATACAATAAAGGTGAATTGAATTTCCGTAGTCCCCTTCACTCTTTAAATTCGTTCAATTCCAAGTTGAGAGTTGGAAATAAGTGATCAGATCTGTATCCTGATTCAATATAGGAGTTATTTAAGCTTGACAATAATTTTCCGAATTCAGGGAAATCAGGCTTGCTTTAATAGATTTGTTTTCTTCCATGTATATCTTCTACTGTCAGGATGTAACTCTCAATATATATCGCCTTTTATGTGTTGACCGGCTGTTAAGATAGTAATAATGATAAACTATATATATCTCCTTTTGAAAAACTTCCCATAATTTCTAATATTGTCTCTCTTGCCTTCTGGTTATTTACATTTTTGTAGCTTGTCATATTCTAAATCTGGTTCCAATACTAAGTTAAAATCTCTGCAGATGGTGTATTTTTATCATTTTCAAACTCGTCTGGTGTATTTTCCAAAATATCATAAAAACTGAGAGTGTCAGTGTTTGGACCGTACAATGTGATAAAATGTTATATCACATCCTTCCAGCAGAGCATCTAGAGCTAAGAAACTTCCTGAAATATCTCCCTTTCCCTTTTCACCCTAATTTCGAAATTATTATGTATTAAAATAGCAACCCCTCTAGAATTAGATCTGAAAAGAGCTGTAAAAACAATAGTAACCCCACTGATTTCTGGTTTTCTACAATGAAATGTGTGTCGTGTCAATAATAAATACAGAATTTTAAGTAACTTTAAGTAAAAGAAAGCATCATTTCTTTTGACAATACTCCAAAGACCCTGACAATTAATGGAAAAAATGTACATTACTTTAAAACCACTTGTCCACATATCTTCAGCATCTAACCCAGAGTGAGAAAAGAAGAAATAAGAGAGAGAAAAACACAAAACAGACAGAAATACAATCCTATCAATATGGTCAAAGTACTGAAGGTCTCATCACTGCAATGTATGTTGCTTTATTTTCTGTCAAATCCAGTATAGCTGCTCTACACCAATCTCTCCCAGAGTACATTGCGGTACCCCCAAAAACACCTGTAAACGGCTCACGATGTTTCAAGATTCTTGAAAAAGTAATCTTATCAAATAATTGAGTATCTTTATCATTAATTTAAAAATAGGTGTTTGTTCATCTAGAAGATGACTACTTCAGTTTATCTGTTCATAAACATTATGGATTATTTCGCGGAAGATTACCCCATGGTGACTGAGTAAACAGTTACCAACCGTTGTGTTTACATTTTGTACTGTCACTTTTCAACTACTGTCGTGTGCTTGAATAGCAATCTCTAGCAGAGTTGTCGTTCCTTTACAGTCACAGTACACCTCTGTAAAACGGCTCACGGACCGACAATAGTTGATCCCGCGGTCAGGGTCAAAGTTTGACGTCGTGCACAACAATGGCGGCATCTCTGAAAACATTAACGAAAGACGCAACTATAGACTGTTTTGTATGTCATAGATCAGCATAAAAAACACCAGTTGCGCTTTTTGAGAGGTTATGTGCCAATATTGTACACCTGTGCAGGTAATCGTACACACAATAAGGCGCTCGTAAACAGTTCTCACGGTGGCTCGGTCATTCCATTGTTTAAGTAGTTTTGCCCCAAAAATTACAAAAAAAAAAAAAAAATCATCGGAAAATCGTACAGGTTAACTTGCAGTAACAATTACATATGTTATATATCCAAAGGGTGGCATCGTACATGTAGTCGAAAGTGGGAAACTTCCGGGAAATTACGGAGCCCAAAAGCTATCCGGCTGACCTTGACCTAGTTCTAAAGAATTTAATCATACTGATTGTTCATCCTCATCTCAATCTTGCATTTCATGACTTGAATGGCATGCTTGATGCTCCAAGGGTTACGCTCACTATCGCTTCCTGCAACCCTGGAACATTGGGTTTTGTTTAAAATGTGGGAACTTTTATCAAAATGATTTGTATCAAATAACTTTTGACATCAATGGATAACTGAGAAACATATTCCAACATACTGAAAGGTAGCATTAATTTTACTATCATACACAACAGTTACGGGCTCTATGTAGGAATATGTTGAATTAGAATATGGAGATTGTTCTTTGTGTAATGAAATATTGAACAAGCTTCTTTATTGACGTTGTGAAAGTGAATTTGATGTTTTGAGTATTTGAGAAATATAAAGTGGATTCCAAAGTCAATATGTTATTCTTTTATCATTTAGTAATACCAGAATATCACGTGATATGCTTTTGTAATTGCGACCAAGAACATCACTGTTTAGACGACTGTAGACACTTTCTTAAACATCACTGTCTTCCATTATAGACTACAAAAGAGGACCGACTCAGGCAGGAAACCATACTTTGAGAACGTTATTCTACCAAAAATGAGGGTAATTAGTGAAAATGTGAATATCAGTTACAACATACTAAATGTAAATATTGAGATTAAATCAATATCTTTGGGGCAGAAATTTTCGGTCAATTAGATATAGGGCAAGGGGTACCGGCAACAAGGTACAGGGTATGGAATATAGGATACGAGGTACAGGGTATGGAATATAGGATACGAGGTACAGGGTATGGAATATAGGATACGAGGTACAGGGTATGGAATATAGGATACGAGGGACAGGTATGGAATATAGGATACGAGGTACAGGGTATGGAATATAGGATACGAGGTACAGGGTATGGAATATAGGATACGAGGTACAGGGTATGGAATATAGGATACGAGGTACAGGGTATGGAATATAGGATACGAGGTACAGGGTATGAGGTACAGGGTATTGAATACAGGATACGAGGTACAGGGTATGGAATATAGGATACGAGGTACAGGTATGGAATATTGGATACGTGGGATACGCGGTGTACAATTGAAAAAAGAATACTGTTTCAAACGTTATTTTCGTAAACTGAAAATTCGCCTTGTATATTATCGCTGAACACTGATTACACATTTTGATGTCATGAATTTTCCTTTATTTTCGGAGCTTACAAAAATGCTTCCCAACACATATTCCCTCAAACACTTTATTTACTGCCAATTTACTGGGGCGAGATGGCAAAAAGTCATTCCGACGATCTCGGGTTCATTCCGGAAACAGAAACTAGCATTCTAATTTGTTTAATTTTAGATTATTATTATTATTATTATTTAATTGAACAGTCAGCTAGTTTATAAAAAGTCAATTTTTTCTATAATCTCCGCACTTATCTCCATAAAAGTCATCCCTGGCAGTAGCTGCTGTTATGTTAATAAAAATAATGTAGAACCGTGTAAAACCACTGACCATCGGGCATCACTCGGTTTGTTCGACAGGCAGGTGCTACCATGCAGCCAAGGAAAAGTCACGTAAATTTAAACAGGACGTTTTGAACTGATCTCGCTTCCAAGATCTGGATTCAATTTTTCTTTGTGTTTTGGTGTTGAGTCCCGTTGGAAGCAAAAAGAGTAAGCTCCCGTCTTAATTTGGTTTCTTCACACTTGATCTTAAAACTAGCTATAACTATGATGATACAGTTGGTAACCAGGGTGAAAAGCACGCTGCCATATGACATCGATATGGTTCCTAGATGATCAGTCATAAACTTCATCAGTTGTCTATTATAAGCATTCGCCATATTTATTTCTTCAAGCGTCGCGTTGATAAAACTGTTGGCAGTGGCAACAAGAAGCAGATGATGCAACTGGTGTGAATTACCGATAATGTCAAACGTCCTTGGGAACCAACATTCAGGAAAATGTGAGACATACACCAATGCGTTCCCGATAGCAAATAGAACATGCCACTGATGGAGGCCCAGAAATTCGTCGTTGTTCGAATTATTCAAAGACGAAAGGCATCGATTAAGTAATGGCACTAGGAGCCATAGATAAAACGAGCTTACAGTTGCAAGTTGGACTATCTTCGTGGCTTTGTGTTCCATTCCGAGGCGAAACTTTGTCCAACAAAACACAATGGTAAGTTGTAACGATAGATACATAGAAACGGGGTTGGACCATTTTGTTAGAAATGTCGCCAATTGTTTTTCCCTGACCAGAAAGCAGTGGCTGACATGTGTACATCCCATTGCATATATTCCTACACAACTGTAGTCGATGAAGAAACAGATGTAATGTACACAGTAAGATTGATCACAAAACCAATGCGCACATGAACTTCCAATGAGAAGTATGGAAATACAAAGTAGTCCTGCACCTAAGGGTCGGAATTCATCGTCATAAATGAAGTCAAAGGTCATTGATATTGTACGTGTCTTTTCTGCTATAAATAGAAATCCAATCAGGTGCGTCCAAACGTTAAATGTTTGATTGTTGACCTGAAAGATGCTGGTTATGTAATATGACCAGGGTTGATGTGATCGGCGATATCCCGTATGGATGTGTTTGTTACAAACAGCAGTCAGACCTTGATCGTTCGAAGTTACGGTTGACGGAAAGTTAAAAATTGCCATCAGGACCTGCAATACACACAAATAAAACTTGCACATCAATCCTGTCAAAATTCATCGAAGTTTTACCCGAAAAAGGGTTTTCATTATATCTTTTTGATAGCGATGCCATTCATAATTCACAGGATCAATCTACGTGCATTTCGTTCGTTGAAAAATACACGAGAAGTTAAGAGCGGAACGATAACAAAGCTTCCATAAAATCATGTTTTTTATGGTGGAGTTATTGTCGTTGATTTCGCGGGTAGTCTTAATCCACTCCAGTAACATGTCTACGAACTGTTTAAATGGATTAACAGCGTCACAAAATAACGTGTCAATGAAAGAATATTTTTTCGCCCACGAAATAAACATGCATTTATAGGAAAGCATTTTTAATGAGAGGAATTAGAAAACGTTTTTGATAAAAAAAACAAATGTCATATTGAATTTTGAAAGAATATTATAAACCAAAAGGGCAAAACATTGATATGAACAATTTTTTACATGAATGTGGCTCTTGTTTTACAAATCATTATATATGGAAACATTAATTTCAACCTTCAAACTTTCGATTTCTAGCTAGTAAATAAGGAGAATTATACTCAATTAAATCAACAATTATTTGATATAGCATGCTGCATGTACTTTATATTGCAATTGCAGCAATTTTCCACGCGATAAATTTATTACGCAGGATATGACGTCATCGTAACCTTTCTTGTCACGAGGGAAACAGATAATTAGTAAATGAAACCATTGATCATAATAAGTAAACAGTACAAAAATGTTTGTACAAGGTAAGGGAGATAAACCATACTGAGTCATCGCAGTTGATCGTAACATACTTCTTTAAGTTAAAAAGTACATGACCCGAAGCTGAATATTTTGGACAATTGTACCAATAGTTTTGATTTCTGATCATCTTGAAAGTAATGATAATTTCAATTTGGGTCTGATTCTGTGTCATTCAAGCTCTATAAACCCCCGAACTGACACTACTATTTTTGCGTCCATGGCCTTACGGCTGTTAATGTCACGATCATATTGTTACGTATAATATGCAAGCTAATAGCTGATCTAGTCTGTATTTAGTCAGACAGAGATACAAGTGAGGATGAAGTCGTGTATACGAATACACCTGTAATGCTCTTCATCACTGAAGTGGAACAGTGGACATAACTTCACTCAAGCTGTCAGCATTTATGTACATGTATGATACAGAAGTTTCATGATACACGGACTTCTCTACTGAGTGGCTGACCTACAAAGTGACACTTTGTTAACACACCAAATCAATATATATATATATATCCTGAATTACCTGCATAGTGCCTCGACCACACACGATTGTGAGTTAGAAATAATCTAAAAGACTTCCACAACTTTCATGTAATACAGTTGTAGTTAATCTGCATCATAAACCACAGTCAACACCATACCTGTACGGTCGTATTTCTCCTTGTCATAGTAAACCTCCTCTCTTGTTTGTTTGTATGTTTGCTTAGTAGTTTACGTCCGCTTCACTGCCAAATAATTCAGTTATCCAGCAGAAAACCGGTTCGTGATGATTTTTTTAGATAAAATAATTCCTGTATAGAGATAAAATTTCGTCCACGTGTATTCACGTACTCGAGGGGTATAGCGAACACTCCGTCTGTAACTAAGTCTACCTATATTATCCAGGTCGATATGTCTACTTATATAGTCCAGGTCTATAGATTTACCTGTATAGTCCTGATCGATATATTTACCTGTATAGTCCTGATCGATATATTTACCTGTATAGTCCTGATCGATACATTTACCTGTATAGCCCTGATCGATATATTTACCTGTATAGTCCTGATCGATATATTTACCTGTATAGCCCTGATCGATATATTTACCTGTATAGTCCTGATCGATATATTTACTGATCGATATATTTACCTGTATAGTCCTGATCGATATATTTACCTGTATAGTCCTGATCGATACATTTACCAGTATAGCCCGATCGATATATTTACCTGTATAGCCCTGATCGATATATTTACCTGTATAGCCCTGATCGATATATTTACCTGTATAGTCCTGGTCGATATATTTACCTGTATAGTCCTGATCGATATATTTACCTGTATAGCCCTGATCGATATATTTACTTGTATAGCCCTGATCGATTTATTTACCTGTATAGCCCTGATCGATATATCTACATATATAGTCCCGATCGATACATCTACTTATATTGCACTGTTCGATATATCTACATCTATAGTCTTGTTCGATATATATGTATTCTCAGTCGATTCAAATATGATCATTATGGTAGTATAAAGGTCAACATGACCAGTCATTTATGATGTTATTACCTTTCTTGGTGAGATCCCTCAAATTCTCTTGTACACGATAATAAAACTCCTGTGTCCCCGATGAGAACAGCACAAACGTTTCTTGCAGAAATTAGGCGTCCATTTATCTTTGAACGGTAATATTTTTAAGCATTCATTAACCATGTGTATATGTTGTATATATCACAGATAAGGATAAGTACATATTGAAATCGGATGTTGATAGCCGGAACCATCCATCCGTCACTTCAACTCCATAGACCTGTCATATGCCTAAGGGGACATTTTTTCAAGCGCATCTGTACTAGTAGACCCATATTTTCTTATGATACACAAACATTTAAACTTGCACTAATGTTGCTATTCACCATATTTCTAGATAAGTTACTAAAAGGTTTAGAATCTTAAAAAAAAAGAAAAAAAGAAGCATCAAGCCCAAAGGCCATAACGGTCACGTGCAATTTTTATTAACTCGTTTTTAACTAATCTGGTCAAAAGGACCAGTGAGCTTATGTCATACCGCGGGCATCCGTCGTCCGTCCGTCCGTTTTTACAGATCACGACTAGTCATGAACAACCGAACTGATTTTTTTGTCAGGAGCATCCTTGGGGTAAGTGAAACAAATTTTGTTTAAACTGGGGGTCACAGTCCTCTGAAACCAGACAAGCAGGGCCTAAAAGAGGAAATAGAGCAAATTGTTTAAAGAGCCAGACCTACTCCGTTATAGATATTTTTTTCATATTTTATTTACTGGAAATGTTGTTTTATACTAATATATAATATGTAAATAAAGACTTGTATAAAGTTTCGAACTTGAAATTGAAAGGGTACCGAAGATATCGGTGCCGGAATAAGTCTCATTACACGTTTTCTTTCCCGCTTCCCTCGCACGCTTTCTGCCATGTTGGAAGACCGCAGATTATTTACAGTTCTTTGCGCATGCGTCAGAGGGCAGGACTTCCCGCATAATTATGAATTAGCACTGAGTCGTTTCGAATAATTCAAACAAATATTTATTACGTTAAATTTTAAGCGATTTACTTTAAAAGTGTGGTATTACAGGGTTAGTCAGAACTTTTGCTACCCGAGAAAAATAGAAAATCATGAATTTTTTTATATAAAATAATATCGGTCGAGGAATGGGTCTGGCTCTTTAAAAGCCTGCTGCCCCTGAAGAAATTCTACCGAAGATTCGTCTGAAGAATACTTTGGTGAAGGGAATTCAATTTTGTATAAATGTACGTCTTGAAGATCCTGTCTCAATTTGGTCTGAAGCATCAATGGTTTTGCTTAACCCTATGGATAGATAGTTAGATCACAAAGGGGAAAACGGATATATTGTGTGTTGTGTGCTTAGTTTTGATGAAGCGATTTAATCCAAGCAAAGTCATATGAGCTATACATGACCGTTGGTCCTCTTGTTGCGACATATAGAAAATATCTTGCCAACAAAGTCAGATGATTTAATTACAATGTACTACGAATGAAGTGGGGTTTTTTTCGAAGAAAAATATGGTTGAGAAAGGCCACAATTATGTTATTCTTCAGATGGAACCTGTCAGACAATAAATCAGGCCTATTAAATATGTAGTACAGTGTACAAGTGTATATCAGTTAAGAAATGAAGAATATGTTCGCAGGAATTTGTTAATTAACTACATATATCTTGCTTGTGACATACTCGAGAGAAAAGTTGATAAGTTATTAAGATACACAATAACTGATGAAACGTTTGTCAGGGTACACAGAAATCGATGACGTATTCGTGAAGTAAGCAGTTACGTGTGAATTAAGTCCACATCTAAAACTAAATAACATCGTATCGAAATTTCGAGTTAAAATAAAACACAACGTGGCCGGAATACGCTTCCGTATATTAGTATGATGCATAAGATTTCAACCGATTCAAGATGTCAGTTTAGAACATTGGAATAAAACTAGTCATAATAGTCATGTGTTGTGTTTCTTATTAAAGAAAGCAATAGAGATAGACATGTAATTACAAAGGCAGACAAAACAAATATCAGACGCTGCACAGAGATAAGTAAGTATCAGATCAGTAAGACGGACAGACAGATGAAAACAAAGACATATAAGCACAAAGGCAATTGACACAGGGACAATTGTCGACAGATTAGAGAGAGACAGGCCTTCCAAAACTCCAACAGTATAAAATCAAATAGACATTACTTTATTGAAAAACATTTGCTCTAAGCCAACTGTCAGAGTTCCGAATGCATTAATAAATAAGAATGGGTATAGACAGAAATGACAAAACTTTTCAATTTAAGTCTACATAAGTAAAAGGGTTTTTCCAATTTGCCATTTTCATTAATAGTTTTCAGAAATGGCTCTAGAAATATCTCGGGGATACCAAACATGGGTGATGTTAGTAGTTTTGAAATAATTGCAGTTCAAGAACATCAGAAATGCTTGCTCATCTGACAGTATGGTCCCCTTTCCCATTCGCAACAGATACTTTCTATGCACAGATTGTAATATACATGCTGGTACTGCTTGCTACTGGTCAATGTCGTCGGGAACCATCGACAGATATATTCTTGATTACGGAAAGGGCCGATGGTTCCCGATTGAGTGAAGCACTGGCCTGGCGGAGAGTAACGAAAACCGGGAATAGGCTTTAAACTATTTCTGCTTTGACCTACGGACTAAGATTATTTTGTTTTCAAAACATTGCGATTTATCCAAGACGTATGAGTCGTATGAGGAAGCATCCATATCGAGTTCGTTTGATGATACAGGAATGCCTGTTTCGTTAGTAATCTCGTCGTAAATACTGTTTTCTGGATGATCTTCACAGTTAAGGCCACCCCGTGTGACTTTATCCGTGTTGTTCACTTCTTTCGATCGTAATTATCTGCCACCTTCTTGTCAGCGTAGACAGTCCATAAAGCAATTAGAAAACACTCAATGCACATCACCAACAACACCGTCCCGTAAGAATTGTCAAATAACCCGCTATTTCTTGTCATATGATATACATATTTTATAGAAGAAGAGGATCTCAATTCCTCAATCGTCACGTTGATGAAATTATTCACAGATATCACAAGAATGACATGGTGGATCTGGTGAGATTGTCCAATAACATCAAACGTTTTGGGGATCAAGCGTTCTGGAACGTGTGCAACATATACCAAAACGTTGGCCTGGAATAATATCACGTGATATTTATGTAACTGTAAAGTATCGTCATGGTAACTGTCCTCTGGCCAGAAGTATCGTTGTATCAGTGGCACCATAAACCACAGGTAACTCGAATAAGTGACGAAGCATTGAAACATCTTGCAGATTTTATGAGTTCTTCCAAACCGAATTTTCGAATATGAAAGCAGTACAGAAAATTGCACTGTTAAGTATATGAACCCTAGTCTTGAATATTTGACAAGGAAAGATGCCAGACTTGATCCTCTTACGAAATAGGAATGGCTTATCATAGTACATCCCATAGAATGTAATGCTATAGCATTATAGTCCATGCAGAAACATGAATAATGCGCTACCTCCGATCTGTCGCCAAAAGTATGAGCGAAAGAACTAACAGCCAGAAGAGTCAAGATGCATAGCAACCCTGCTCCCAACGGTCGATACATGGGGTCGTATAAAAAATCGTAGGTCAAGGACATGTCATAAGTTCTGTATGCTATAAATAGAAAGCCAATGACATGTGTCCATACATTGAACGTCTGGTTGTTGGCGTGAAAGACACTGATAAAGTAATAGAACCATGGCTGGTGTGGTTGCCGGTAACCCGTATGTATGTGTTTCTTACAAATTTCAGACGGCATTCGTTCAGCCAAAGTCAATGTCGGTGGAGAATTGGGGAACTTCATTTTTCTTAGTTCCTGAAAATTAGATAAATCAATAGCTAACAGCATGAATGTAAATGTGAACGAAATTGTATCGATTTTCTAAACTCCATCTTCGGCATTGACGTCATCAACTATTAACAGACGTATAGATGGATACTTTACAATAATAAAGATTTTACGTATTTAACTTTGATTCTAAATATGGCAAATAAATTTCGGGTTTTGAAGATTTTTTTTCGGGAATGTCCGGCGTTATTTGAATTTTACGTCACATGAATGGTTCCGTCTTCATTAGAAGTAAGACGGTTTCGGATTTAAGAACATCCAAGAGTACACAACAGTGTATAAAGTAAATAAAAAAAAATAAAGTAGATTATTAGATAAGAAATAATATTATGTTCGTCTCATGACGACAAATAAAATAAATTACCTTATAAGGTGATGAAACAGATTCCAATACAAACGATTCCGTATGATTGATCCTACTGAAAGGTAGTCGGTAGGTATGGTGACTGAAGTCTATATGATCGTGTCGGTAAGATCTATCATGTTGTATCAAATACCATGATGTAAGGCCTAAAGGCAAAAAATGTCGGAACAACAAATCGGAATACATTAACATAATTATAATGCTACCCGTGAAGTCACGAATATTTGTAGGGTTAGCTAGGGGTATTACTTTATAACACATAAATAATAAAACTTTACATAAAGATAAATTTTTTATCAATATCGCATCAGTTGTCTTGGCTAAAATATCAATTAATTATTTCTATTACAAAAAACAAATCATGTTGTGTATGTAACCGAGGTCATTGTTCATTTCAATAGGACTCGAACTAGGGACCTCTGGGTTACTAGTTTGACGCTCAACCGATCAAGGTTAAGTGAAGTTTACTTGAGTTGAGAAGTGTATTGTTGCTAGCATTTTTAAGAACACAAACACATGATATTCAGAAATTTCAATGTTATCACAATCATATATTTTTGTCAATTACAAGCTACTTTTTTTTGGAGTTGACCACGTGATATTGGTGATCAGAGGAAAAGATATTAACCGAATATCTCTCTTGGGTTAATATGATCCCATATTGACTTTAACCCGTATTTCTGAAGTCCTTCGAAATGGTTTTCCCTCTGAAAAAGAAAGAAAGAAAGGAAAATGCCAAAAGGACGAAAATTTGAGTTTAGTACAAGAGCTGAGACGTCACAATGAAAGTGAAGTCCTATGACAAGTTGGTATCGCATATCATTAAATTCCAAGTTATTTTTCGGAAATAGCTTTAATTTTGTTTCAGTCCATATACACTTAATTCGAAGACGAAGAATATCATCTGAACCGACATTTTAACGTAGATATTTTGCCATGCGCTGACTTATACAATGACGACCAGGATTGTATTGCTCGCCAATCATTGTGATTTTTTCAAGATGTTTGCGTCGTCTGAGGGAGCGTCCATGTTTTGTTCCTCTGTTGACGTTCGAATGACAGTATTTGTGTCTTCGTCGCAAACCTCGTCGTTAGATACGTGTGCTTGATCGTTGAGATCACTCCGTTTTACTTTACCAGTGCTGGTCAATTCTGCCGAATCCGAACTTCTTGCAACCTTTATAATTGCATAGAGTGAGGCTAGAACTACCATGAAACAATTAAAATACATCACCAACATTACCGCCCCGTACGAATTCTCAAATGTCCCTAGTTTTCGGGTCATGTATTTCAGAATTTTGATAGAAGATGAAGATTTTATTTCCTCAGTAGTGACGTTGATAAAATTATTCACAAATACCACCATGGCGATATGTTGTAATTGATGGGATTGGCCGATGATGTCGAACGTCCTAGGAAACCATCGTTCAGGAACGTGTGCACTATATATTAAAATATTGAGCTGGAAATATATTATATGATACATATGAAGTCCTAAGGTGTTGTCTTGGTAGTTGTGCTCTGGCCAAAAGTATCGTTGTATTATTGGCACCATAAACCACACGTAACTCGAATAAACAGTAAAACACTGGAAAACTTTGCACAGTTTGTTAGCTCTTCCAAAACGAAGTTTTGAAAAGGAAAGCAATACTGAAAATTGCATTGCCAAATATATACATCCGGGTCTTGACCATTTCACAAGAAACTTTGCAAGGCTCTTTTCCGTCGTGAAATATGTATGACTGATCAGGGCGCAACCCATTGAATACAAACCAATGGCGTCGAAGTCCATGCAAAAGCAAGTGTAATGGGCAACCTCCGATCTGTCGCCAAACGTGTGAGCGAAAGAACTAACAGCCAGAAGAGTCAAGATGCATAGCAACCCTGCTCCCAACGGTCGATACATGGGATCGTTTAAAAAATCGAAGGTCAAGGACATGTCATATGTTTTGTATGCTATAAATAGAAAGCCAATGACATGTGTCCATACATTGAGCGTCTGGTTGTTGGCGTGGAAGACACTGATGACGTAATAGAACCAAGGCTGGTGTGGTTGCCGGTAACCCGTATGTATGTGTTTCTTACAAATTTCAGACGGCATTCTTTCAGCCAAGGTCAATGTCGGTGGAGAATTGGGGAACTTCATTTTTCTTAGTTCCTGAAAATTAGATAAATCAATGGATAAATACGTTTCATAGATGCCTCGCCATTGATACAAAGCCCGGCAGCAAAAACAAAAACAACAACAAAATAATCACTTATTGGAATAGAGTTGTTAAGAATGAAAAAATAGGTGGCAAATTTTTGATCAAGTAAAATAAATGAATTTAATAATACGATTGACTATTAAGCATAGACTGAAACGTGTACTTGTAAGTATAAAATTCGTACAAAAATCAGTCGGTGATAAGCAAGCCCTACCGTTACTATACTGTTTGAAGATTAATACTCGGAGAATTGTAAAAAGAAATATTTAAGTCTATTGAATACTGCTGTCATCAAACCATGAACGAACCAAACCGAGTAGATTATTGATGTATTCTAGAATTTCGCCTGAAAAATGGACGATTAAATTGAAGAGAAATACAAGCAAATTGGTCAGAGTTACTAAATACGTGTACATTTTACGTTATTGGATTTTTTTTATTCATTATTAAGATAATATTTCTTTAGTTTAATTAAATTTGATTTTTAAAAATATCAGTATTAAACTTCATTAGATATCAAAACATGGTCTTGTACTGACAGCATTAAGATTTCACATAAATACGCGTATTTTCGAAAGTGTGACGTTAAAACTCCATGACGTCAGATCTGCTGCATATAAAAAGTATCCACTGCATGGAATAGTGGCTAGGATTTTCTGTAAAAAGAGCTGTGCAATGCCTTACCTGTGATAATTGTGTCGCGTGAAGACAAACAGCGATATTAGCTACTTCGTACTAGTTTATCAACAGTGAAGTACCCGGATGAACGAAGACTTCTAGGGTCAGCCTGTTCCATCATACTAACCAACTGTCAGCTACTTAACGCCTCGGGGTCGTTTGCACGAATACAGGTGTGTGGAGAGACATCACTGTAATATGATATAATACTCTTCTTGGTCACATTTTGACAAGTAGGCTTGAGATAAATGGTCAGTAGGTGAAAACAGATGCATGTGATATGGAATGTTTACAACTAACGCAACGCTGTTTCAGACTATATTTCATCGGATTCTGGAAGTTTTTTTTTTACGAAACATTTCTGACGGTGGCGAGTTTCACTAATTTCAAATAAAAAAAAACTGCCTAAGATATTTACTTCAGACCCATGGTTTCTTATCATGCTTGTTTTTAATTTTCATGTTTGTAATGTGACGGGGTCGTTTTATTCGAATCCTGTAACGACTTTGCCTTTCTCCTGGACCACTATGTTTTTCAACTGGCTGTGAATTTTAAAAAATCTAATCCAATCAAACAGTGATAGTAATGTACAGAGGACGAATTTACTCTGGCGTTAGACAGGGACCTATTGTACTGTTTTGCCTTTCGTATCTTTAGGCGATCTTCCGGGTTATTTTCACCTCACTGTTACCAGACACAGAATAGCTAAATACCCCTTTGTGGCAATCGCGGACTAAGAATTGGAAAGTATCCAAAACTTCCGGGTTCAACGGTTTTAAAGATGTTTGCTGCTAAGGTATTGCATTGAGTGGTTCTGCATAAACCTGTCCATTTTTATCTTAAATAATTCCATCATTATCTTTGTTTCGGTTTTCTTCTTGTCTATTGTTTTAAGTAAATATAGACATAGTGTGTTGCATTTTCCTTCAAATTTGTCTTTTTTTTCAATTAAAGATAATTCAATCGAATTAAAGATATTACATATTACATCATTCAACAGAAATATCGGTCAATATTTTTTTCTACCAGGTTGATTTAACATCTTATTGACCTCATCAGGAGTCCTTAATCGATAAATTTGTGATATCATTAAACATCCGATTTATTCAAATTCCGCTATATAAGCATGGAGATTATTCTGTGATATCATTAATTCGAATTCATGACGTCTACTGCAACTTCTTCATAGATTTATCGCTAAATTCAGTTTAGTCTTGTGAATTATTCAATTAGTCCTATCAATAAGTAATAATTCAGTCCGGGGTTAAATCTTCAGATGTACTTCTGCAAAAATACATTCTAGCTAACCTGGCCTGAAGTGCCGAGTGAGCTTACCGCGGTGTCCGTCGTCCGTACAACCCCAACGCCCAGTGTTACTTAAGTCACAAACTAACCTATGAATAGAGGTCTCTGTTTCTTGTTCTTGTTCCATTTCAGTTCTGCATGTGAATTTTTGTTCCCGAAGTTTGCTGTAATCTGTAACTTGAACTTGAACAGTATTGTGATTCAGAGTAAACACATCTACCCGAATTCTTTACAAGCATCCTGTATTTAAATATCAGCACTTTTGACTAATTTGGATCGTAATAGTTTCCTAGGTTTCAACCATTTTGACGTTTAGCATCTCTGACGAGCCATAGAAGGTTAAACAGCTATGAAGGTTGAAACAACTATAAAATGTACTTAATGAAACGCCGAGGCTCTATTCGCAACTTCTTGGGCGATTTCCAGTACAAGTGATGTCAATTCTGCAGAGTTATTTCCCCTTAGACCACGCCAATTTTTGGCAAAGAACACAGATGCAAAATTATCAAGTATTTAACATAGTTATCCAATTATTACATTATTTCCCCTATACAAATCCTATTTTCCACACTCTGCCAATTTTTGATAAAAAGTGTTTGCTTCAAAGAACACAGATGCAAAATTATCAAGTATTTAACATAGTTATCCAATTATTACATACACACAATCGATGCTTTCTACAACAAATCTATACAAATCCTATTTTCCACAGGCTCTGTGTTAACAGTGTTAAACTGCACGTTTCGCGTTATAACGTGTATAAAAAGTGTTTGATTAAAAAACATTTTTTTCATACCACTGGTTTATTTGCGTATTTACAACACGTTTTAAATTTTTTGCTTTGACACCATTAGGCTTTCGTAGATTCGGATACTGAAATGGCATTAAAAATTTTGTCTGGAGAAAATTCAAACACACGAAAAAATTATTCAGAGTTAGTGTCATAAGATATTTCTTGACTATCAAATAATAACAAGTATAGATCGCTATGTACTTGTAAATTAAAGTTGTTTAATGGTATCTCCAAAAGAATGTCTCATTCTGTCATAACGACCATATTCAAAGAAAAAAGGTGACAAGCATTCGCAGAAATATGCCCATGAGTAAAACTGGATATCTGCCATGGTCACTCAGCACAAGTTATAGATTAAATCTAAACTTTGTGTGAATGACATGCGGTTTCCAAAACCAAAATTAGAGATTTTTTTTTAATTCCCAAGGAACGCTTACGGAATTATCATCATGAATAAAGGAATGAAGAAGTGCAGACAGATAGTATGGTGTGTAATTGATCTGCATCTTATACAAAAGTCGAAATTTTTTTTTCATTCTCAAAGAAAAAAATATTTCTATTACATACAAATATGGAGCAACATGGCTTGGACTTAACTCAGACGGATGGATGGACGGACGGACGGACGGCAGGACACATTCTTTATTCGGTTTGCTAATACTAAATGCAATCAGGGAAACAACAAATTCTACAATTCAATACAAGACAAATGATCGCACAAGTTGATACAGAACGTTGCACAATAATGAGTTTTTCTTTTTACTTTTTGAAAGATATCGTTCTTTATAACTATGTCGGAAACCAGGTGCTACTATTATTTTTAAATCGTTTGGAGTGCTTTAATACACGCATCGTTGTTACGTAGACGAATGAATGGGAAAGTTCCTTACATGTTTCGCGCGTGCCGCGTCGCAGTGAATTCTGTATCGAAGAAACGGGAACCAACTCAAACACCGTGTACGAGTACACAAACAACATCTTAACAATCCGGAGTACAGAGAAATTAAACAGAGCGAATATCTTGATATATATATATACATATATTCAAAATAAAGACCCGAAGCGGAAGATTTTTTTATTTGTTGGGTAGCCTTGTCTATCGCAATCAAAATAGCAATGTGAGTTTTGTGTGTTGAGAGAATATTAGTGAATTCTTTAAGAATATTTTTTTACTTGAAAGGCCAATTCCAAGATAGTAACCGGAGTCAGACGTGTCGCTTTTTAGTGGGCACATTTGTTGTAACAAGGGACGAAACAATTGCTTAGCTCCAATAAAAAAAAATCATTTAGAAACTGGTCCGATCGGTGATTCTAATTTTTTTGTTTAGATTGTCGGTTCGATTTCAGGAAGCGATTTATCAGAATCTAGCTCATTTATGTAACGTCATTATTACAGACAAAACTTCCACCAGTGTTACTACTTTTCATCAGCCAAGTTCTTAAAACAATTATAAAAATCATCCAGGTTTGCATTTGGTTTAATTTCGATTTCTCCTCCCACAATTAGATTTATAGCGCGTTTCCATCTGAGCCACTAGAGTGATTATTATTTGCTTAAAGCTGTTTGAGCCACGGACTTATATTTTTAACTCAATAAAGACCAGTATTCGTATATTATAACCATATATCTTAACTTGAAAGAAGACATTATATGTGTCTAATATTTTGTTAGCTAGTATAAAGGGGAATAACTCCTGTCACACTAAACAGTCTAATCAAAATTACAATGAGTTATTTCCCTTTATCTTACATGGTAATACGGAGTCGGCACACTGGAACATTATTATTATCATTTATCATTATTATTACAATTACTCAGTATTATAATAATCATTATTCTATTTTGGTTCAAACATATTTTATTTCAACTGGAGATATAGGAACAGAAACAAGTGACAAATTTTCATCGCCTTCTTCGGACAGATAAATTACAAAAATAAATGACAGCATGAATGATTCGCAAAGTATAACACCTGAACAATTTGTATTTGAACGTTTCTCTCATTTACAAAATGCATTTTAGTAAAGTTATCTCTAAAGAAATCACAGTGAAGAGAATCACGCTCGTGTCTAAGTTTTGTTTCCAGAATGTTAGATTTCCCTCCTCCAAGTCAGTAATGCATTAAAGTGGTTGTCACTGATAAGGAATTTGAGAAATTATTT